CCCGAGCCGCCGCGGCCCGCGCCCGCGGCCGCGGCCGGGTCGCCCGCGGCGGAGCCGGCGGCCGAGGGCGGCGCCGCGGGCCTGCTCTACGCGCTCCGCGGGGGCCCCCGGGCGGCGAACGGCGACGAGACCTGGCGCCTCCGCTGGCACGAGTTCGACGGCGCCGTGCTGCGCTGGCGCGAGCCCGACGAGGCCGAGTGGCTCGGCGCGATCCGCGTGGGCTCCGACCGGTCCGCGCGGCGCGTCGACGAGGCGCCCCTGGGCTTCGGGCTGCGCGTGACGTCGCCGGACCTGTCCATGACGCTCTACGCGACGACGAAGGCCGACCGGAAGGCGTGGCTCGCGGCGCTCGACCCGCGCAGCGCGGCGCGCAAGCCCGAGCCGCCCGCGCCGCGGCCGCCGCGCCAGGTCGTCGTGTCGCCGGGCGACCTCGTCAAGCGCCGGCCGCCGGCGCGGGGCGGCTCGTCGGAGGGCGGCTCGGACTCGTCGGACTCGTCGTCGGACTCGGCGCCGTCGTCGCCGCCGTCGTCGGGCCGCCGGTCGCCCCGGGGCCGCGGCGCCGCGGCCCTCGACGGCGCGCCGCTCCTGCCCCTCGCGGCCGGGGACGCGGACCGCGCCGCCGCCGCGGCGGCGGCCGTCGACGACTACGTCGACGGCGCCGCGCGCCGCCGCGACGTCGTCGCCGTGCTCCTGCGGGCCACGCGGGCCTCCGCGGCGCTCACCGACGAGGTCTACTGCCGCCTCCTCCTCGTCGCCGCGAACCGCCGCCGCCCGAACCGCAAGCGCAAGGCCTGGGAGCTCCTCGCGGCCGTCTCGCGGCGCCGCGCGCCCCGGGACGTCGTCCTCTGCCGCGTCGCGCGCGCGGCCGCGGCCGCGGCCGCGGCCGTGGCCCAGGACCAGGACGACGCGGCGACGGCGGCCGTCGCGACATACGTCGCCGACGCCATGGACGTTGTGCTGCGAGGGTAAAGTGCGGTAACTTGAGGGAATTATGTCGGAGTTGAGCACGCGCACGCACCGCTGCGGACGAGCGATCGGAGGGCATCGAGAGTTCACCATCGACTCGAGCAGCGAGTAGAGCGAGCCCGAGGCCTCGCGCGCCGTCGCCGTGTGCACACACCGCGCCGCCGCGTTGCCGAACACACACCGCGTCGCCGCCGCCAGCGCTCGCACCGCCGCGCCGGCCCGAAACGCTCGACAGCCATGGCGATGATCGCGCAGCGGTCCGACGGCGGCGGCGGCGCGCTGGCGCTCGGCGACCAGAACCTGCCCTACGTCGTCTTCGAGACGAGCGTCGGCGACTTCGTCGTCGAGCTCTACTTCCAGCACGCGCCGGCGACGTGCAAGAACTTCCGGGAGCTCGCGCGCACGGGCTACTACGACCGGACGATCTTCCACCGGGTGATCCGCGGCTTCATGGTCCAGGGCGGCGACCCCACGGGCACGGGCCGCGGCGGCGCGTCCATCTACGGCGGCAAGTTCCGCGACGAGATCACGCGCGAGCTCAAGCACGTCGGCGCGGGCGTGCTGAGCATGGCGAACTCCGGCCCGAACACGAACGGCTCGCAGTTCTTCGTGACGCTCGCGCCGACGCCCTGGCTCGACGGCAAGCACGCGGTCTTCGGCCGCATCGCCGCGGGCATGGGCACGATCAAGAAGTTCGGCATGGTCCCCTGCGACGCGAACGACCGGCCCGAGACGACGATCTCCGTCTTCAAGGCCTACTGCCAGGCGACGCCCGACATGCCCAAGCAGTCCCAGGCCGCCATCATCGCCGCGCAACGGCCCTAACAAGTCGCTCTAGAGCGGGGGTGGCGGCATTTCGCCTGGCGCGGTCGCCGGACGGCCCGCGCCTCGCGCGCGGCGTTCTACGAGAGCAAAGTGGAGGATGCTTAGGAAGGGTCCTAGAGCACCGCCCAGGAGAGGACCGCGACGGCGGCGGCGGCGACGCCGGAGCCGGCCCGCGCGGCCGCGTCGGCCTCCTCGATGATCTCCTCTTCTTCTTCGGGCTGATCTTCTTCTTCGCCGGGCGCGTCTTCTTCGGCGGGCGCGTCTTCTTCTTCTTCTTCTTCCGCAACCTGGTGGCAGGTCGCGCTCGCGCCGACGACCGCGTCGTAGACGCAGGGGTAGACCCCGTCGGCGCAGGTGTCGACGTCGCGGTTCGCGAAGATGCTCCCTTTTGAGAGCGCGGGGCTCGCGACGAAGCCCAAGACGATTCCGTCGTCGCAGCCCGAGGCGGCGAAGGCGACGTGCCACTTGGCGCCGCAGAAGAGGATGGACAGCCCCTCGACGGCGCTCGACTCGTAGACGGGGAGTCCTCCCGAGGAGGCGCCGCCGTCGACGTAGGCGCCGTCGAGGTAGTCGGACGGGAGGAGGGAGCCCTCGCTGCCGCCCCAGGCGAGCGCCGTGCCCGAAAGGTCGACGCCGCCGGCGCAGCCCTCGGCCGTCGCGCACGCGAGGCTCGCTTCGGGCGCGGTCACGAAGGCGCCGTCGGCCGCGACGGCGACGGTGGTCTCGCCGAACGAGACGTAGCCGTCGCACGACCCGCCCCGCGCGGCGTCGAGGCCCTCGAGCGTCGTCACGAGCCACGTCGCGGCCCGCGCGCAGTAGTAGGCGTACCACGCGTAGATCGCGCCCTCGCGCCGGAGTACGGGCCGGAAGTTCACCGCCGCGACGCCGTCGAACGTTTCGTAGGCGCCGTCCCAGAGGCCGTAGTCCGCGTCCGCCGTCGCGACGCGGGCGCCGGAGAGCACCGCGGTCCCGGCCCCGCAGGGGCCCGGCGCGAAGCACGTGACAACCACGGTCGAGGTCCGCGTCGTCACGTCCGCGGTCGTCGACGTCGCGACGGCGTTCTGGGCCCGGCTCGCCCCCGCGAGCCGCGCGCCGCTCTGCCACTGGACGAGATGGGGGCAGGCCGCGATCTCCGCGGCGAGCGCGGCGTCGTCGGTCACGTCGCCGAAGAACGCGTGCCCGAGCCACGCGCCCTCGGCGCCGAACTTGCTCGCGTCGTCGCAGTGGTAGAGGATGAGGCTCGGGGACGAGGCCGTCGACGCGTAGATGGCGTGGTCGCCGAGGCGCGTCGACCGCTCGACGTAGAAGCCGTCGAAGAGGTCGTCGGAGATGCCGGGGAGCGCCGCATCGACGGAGATGCTCGTCCCCCGCACCTCGACGGCGCCCGACGCGCACGTTTCGACGGCCAGGTCGACGCACCGCGATCCTTCTAACTCGCAGTACTGGCCGTCCGAGTCGTAGAGCGACACGTCCTCGCACCGCGAAACGCCGCGGGCGTCGCACGTCGCGGGCGCGGGCGCGGGCGCGGGCGCCGAGTACGACGGCGCGCTCGAGCTCACGCCGTTGAACATGGTCGTGCCGCTCCCGCTGATGTAGGCGTTGACCTGGGAGGCGGCATAACCGCCCGTCACCCACTGGCCGCACACGGCCCGCTGTCCGACGCCCACGAGCAAGAAGGCGATGCCGAGTCATGATCGGTCGTGGCCTCGACGGTCGATGGTTTGGAAGTCGATCCGAATGATTCTCGCCGCTCTTGCTCGCCGCAAAACTTCGCGGAGAGAGGCATCTAGCCTTTCCGGCATCATTACCCTGATAAGCTTGCTTGCTGTCGCGTCGCGACGGCTGCCCAACCGCGAGCAGCGGCGGCCCGTCCGGGCGCTTCGAGTGCGTTGCGCGCGCAACCACCGACGATGAAGAGCCGGGGCCGGAGCTCCGGCTACGAGCGCAAGGGCGGCGACCTGCAGGACATCGAGGAGCTGTCCCAGAAATTGACGGCGGACCTCCAGAAGCACATCCACCTCATCGCGAGCTGCCCGGTGCTTTCCGAGCCCTGGTGCAAGATGGCGGACCTCGTGGGCCGCATCGCGTCGATATCCGACATGGAGGCGCGGCTCCCGAAGGAGCACGCCAACGCGACGCTCTGGGAGTGCGAGGAGGTCGCGCTTCGCTACGTCATGGAGGACGGCAAGCTGAATTTATGTTTGCGGAATTTGGTGGAATTCCGCGCGTTCCTGCGCGAGTGCAAGGGCCGGACGTCCCATCTGGACGGGGCGCCGCCGGCCTATTTACCGGAAGCCGGCGAGGCGAAGACGGGCGGGTCGTCGGAGACGTGGCAGCAGTCGAAGCTCGACGTCTTCGAGAAGGGCATGGGCGTCATGCTGCGCAACGCCTGGTCCCACGTCGAGGCCGTGCAGACGACGGACCTGCCCATGCTCATCCAGCACGTCGGCGACGTGCTCCACGACGCCTGCTCGCCCGACGGCGCGGAGCGCATGCGCGCGCTCGGCTCGGACCCGGACGACCTCAAGGACCGCCAGGAGGTGCTCGTGCTCTACTACCTGCGCTGCCTCTGCGTCCGCTGCGACGACATCCGCGAGCTGCGCTTCATGATCCTCATCAAGGACGAGCGCATCGTCGAGCGCCTCGTCGCGTACCTCGACGAGCACCACGGCCTGCTCCACGTCGACGACCTGCTCGTCGCGGCCCAGGCTTTGAGCGACCTGCTCGACACCGAGGACTTCCAGACCTACGAGGGCCAGTACCTGCCCCACAGCGCCCGCGACACGCTCGGCACCTTCCGGACGAAGTTCCTCGAGGTCTTCCTCGACGACTACGACAAGCGCAAGACCATCCAGCCCCTCCTCCGCTTCATCCAAGACTGCAACTACAAGTGAGCGCGCGGCCCGCCGGCCCCGCGCCCCGCGCGCCGTAAGAAGCCCGGCCTCACGCGCGCGCGTCGTGGAGCCGCTGGGTCAGCCGCGCGTTCTCCTCGAGGAGGGCGATGCGCCGCTTGAGCTCGGCGTTCTCGGCCTTGATGGCGCCTTCGTCGAAGACGGGGTCCTCGAAGACGGGCTCGATCGTCGGCGCGCGCGCCGGCCGCGGCGCGAAGTCCGCGCGGGGCGCGACGCGCGCGCGCGGGTCGCGCCGCGGGTCGCGCTGGGCCTCGCGGAGGCGCCGGCGCTCCCGCTGCTCCGCCTCGGCGAGGCGCCGGTCGCCGAGCTCGCCGCCCACGGAGTGCTCCGTGAAGGACTCGGAGCCGTCGTTCTCGAACCAGGAGAGGCCGGAGGTGCTCAGGCTCGAGCCGGAGATGATGTCGATGTCGCCGTCGCCGTCGACGTCGATGGCGAAGACGGCGTCCGCGGTCGCGACGGCCGACGCCGCGACCGCGAGGCGCACGAAGAGCTTCATGCTCCCGAAGGCTGCCCCTCAAAAGCGCTAAAATAAACGTCAACGTGCACAGCACCAAAAGTTTTTGGCAGCCCTCGATGGGCCGCACTCAAGAGCTCGTCCCGCTCGACGACGAGACAAACTTGCACGACGTCTGGGCGTCCGTCAATGACAAAGCGCAGGACGAAACGCGCGCGTTCGAGCGGCGCGTCGACATCGACGGCCTGCGCGCCGTCAGCGTGCTCGCCGTCGTCGCCTTCCACGCCTTCGAGGAGCACTACGGCGCCGGCTTCGTCGGCGTCGACGTCTTCTTCGTCATCTCCGGCTACGTCGTCCTCGGATCCATGCTGCGGCGGCCGGCGGCCGCGGACCTCGAGGACTACGTCGTCGGCTTTTACGCGCGTCGCGCGAAGCGCCTCGGCCCCGCGCTCTGCGTCGTCGTCGCGGTCGCCGCCGTCGCGCTCTACGCGATCGCGGCCGAGTCCGAGGCGCGGGACGCGCGCATCGCCTACGAGACGGCGCTCTGCGCCCTCGTCGGGTCGTCGAACGTCTACCTGAGCGTCGTCTTCGACGACGACCGGAGGCGCGCGGAACGCGCGGACGACGACGGCCGCGCGGGCTACTTCTCCGGCGACTGGAGCGCCGACGACGACGGCGCCGTCTTCGTCCACGACAAGCGGGCGAACCCCTTTTTGCACACGTGGTCCCTGGGCGTCGAGGAGGGCTTCTACTTCCTCTTCCCGTGGGTCGTGGCCTTCGCGTACGGCGGGGCGGTCCTCGAAGGATCCCGGGCCCGCGCGGGCCCCCTGGCCCTCTTCCTCGCGTTGTCGCTCGCCTCTTTCGCCCTCTGCCTGGGCCTGACGCTGCTCGACGAGCCCGACTGGGCCTTTTACCTGATGGCGGCGCGCATCTGGGAGATCCTCGCCGGCGCCGCGTGTTACGAGTGGCTCCGGTCCGGCCGCGGGGCGCCGCCGGGCGCGGCGCTCGACGCCTGCACCTGGTGCTGCCTCGGGGTGGCCCTGTCCTGCGCCGACGAGGCCCTCTTCCCGCTGCCCTGGGCGCTGCCGGCGGTCGCGGGCTGTGTGGAAATCAACCACTGGTTTGGGGGGTCCCCACCAAACTTCAGAACTCTCTATCTCGATCAAATCGAAATCGATTCGGCTGATTTTTGGACGAATCGATTGCTCTCATCGAGTCCTCGAAGCTCGGCCAAAGAGTCCGGCGCAATCCATTCAATTACGCGCACATTAAAGTCGTATTGAAGATTTGATTTCCACACAGGTCGCGGGCGCGCTGTCGTTCCTCGCCGCGGGCGACGGCGGCCGGACGCCCGCGGCCTGGAGCCTGAACAACGTCATCGCGCGGGAGCCCCTGGCGGCCGTGGGCCGCTGGAGCTACGGCTTCTACCTCTGGCACTGGCCGCTGCTCGTCCTCGCGGACCTCGCGGCCGCGACGGGCGACGGGCCGCGCGCGGCCGCGGTCGCGGCGGCCGCGGTCCTGGCCGTCGCGAGCTACGCGACGTTGGAGCGCGCGGCGCTGAACTGGAAGCCCGCGACGCCCCGTCCCGCGCCCCGCGTCTTCTTCCGACAGTCGTCGCGGGGACGTCGCCGTTCGACCCGTCGTTCCGCGCGCTCGCCGCTCGACGCGCCGTCTTCCGTCCGCAGGCGCGCCGCTCGTCGCCGCCGTCGTCGGCGCCGCGGCCGTCGCCGCGCTCCTCGGGGCCCTCCGCGCGTCGTCCGAGGCCGGCCGAAATTCGTCGAGCGACGACGACGCGGCGGTCCTCGGCCCGCCGACGTTCGGGAGCGCGTGGGACCGAGACGCGTGGCCGCGCTTCGCCGGCGACGACGCCGTCTGCGACGCGAAGATCCCCGTGTCGACCTGCGGCCGGACGACGGCGCGGGCCGCACCCTGCGCCTGTTCGTTGGGCTGCGGCGAATCGTCCCAGCTCTACGCGCCGGACCGAGCGAGCGGCGACGCCGCGGCGGAGCCGTGCCTGCCGACCGCCGTCGATTCGTGCCAGGGCTGGTACGCCAACGACTTCGACGACGACTGGGACTTCGGCGTCTGGACTTCGAACTGCTTCGTCCACTCGGCGCGCTTCACGGCGACGAAGCTGGCCAACTGCCTCGCGCCGTGCCGCCTCGCGAACGCGTCCGCGTCGTTCCTTTTGGGCGACTCGCACGCGGCGTCCTACGCGGCGGGCTTCGCCGCGTCGGCCGCCGCGGGCGGGCGCGACGCGCGCCACGCCTTCGCGGGCTACGGCTGCTCCTTCGCGAGCCCGGGCTTCAACGCGGCCGTGACCGCGGCGCTCGGATCCGCGTGGGTTTTGGACGACTGCGACGCGTGGGTCGCCGCGTCCCTCGACGTCCTGCGCGCCGAGCTCCGGCCCGGCGACGTCGTCGCGACGACGACGGCGAACTGGAAGTACGACGTCGCGGGCCACGTCGACGTCGCGTTCGTCGCGGACCTCGCGGCGCTCGCGTCCGCGCGCGGCGCGGCGGCCGTCGTCCTGGGCGACGCGCCGCTGCTCTACGGCATGTTCGGCGTCAACTGCGCGTCGGCGGCGACGCGCCGCGACTGCGACGTCGACGAGGCCGACGCGGCGCCGCCGGGCATGGCCGCGGCGGAAGCCGCGTGGGCGGGCCTCGGCGACGTCGCGTTCTTCCGCGCCTTCGACCTCTTCTGCGCCGGCGACGTCTGCGGCGCCCAGATCCCGGGCACGGACGTGCTCGGCGTCGTCGACTACGGCCACCTGACGACGGCCGGGTCGCTCTACGTCGCGCCCTTCCTGACCTGCTTCCTCGAGGCGCGGAACTTGTCCGCGGCCGTTCCCGCGGACCGGGACTCGTGCCCGTCGTCGATCACGGACACGTAAAATTGGATTACCCGTACTTCGCCAGGAACGCCTCGGTCTTCGCCGCGAAGGTCTCGAAGCCCGCCTTGTCCGACGGCGCCGACTCCGCGTCGAGCTCCCTCGCGAGGCGCGCCGCCTCGTCCGCGACGGCCGCGGGCGACTCGGCCGCGGGCGCCGCCGTCGCGGGCGCCGCGCGCGGCGCCGCGGCCGGCGCGGCGGCGACGGACGCGCTCCCGGCGGGCGGCGCCTTCTTCTTCCCCGCCGGCACGCAGTACCGCTTGTGCGTCTTCCAGCTCGCCTTCTGGCAGTCGACGGAGCAGTAGGCCGCCTTCTGGCACCGCGTGCACTTCTTCAGCGTCGTGCTGCGCTTGCCGCAGCCGCCGCACTTCGGCCGCGTGTCCGGCTTGGGGACGCCGTCCTTCAAGAGCGCGCAGACGCGCTCGTCGAATTTCAGGCACGACGCGACCTGGCTGAGCGACGCCTCCATCGTCGACTGTCGGAAGAAGCGGAAGGGCCGGTGGGCGTCGGCGCCGCGCTGCAGGAGCGCCGTCACAATGTCGACCTTGTTCTCCTTCGCCGGGCCGAAGAGGGGCACCATGCCCGCGCGGTCCTCGGCGTTCGGGTCCGCGCCCCGCGCGATGAGAACGTCCAACAGCGCCAACGCCTTGGCCTTCTTGTCCGAGCCCGGGTCGTAGGACGTCGCCACGAGGCAGAAGAGGGGCGTGCGGCCGAGGAGGTCGCGCGCGTCGACGAGCGCGCCCGCGTCCGCGAGCGCCGCCGCGGCGCCCTCGAAGTCGCAGTCCGCGCGGGTCTGGCGGAGCCCCGCGACGACGGCGTGGACCGGCGCCTTGCGGAGGCAGGAGCAGCGCGCGTCGGCGAGCGCCGCGGCGTCGTCGGCGTCGAGGGTTCCGAGGACGCGGCGAACCTCCTCCGCGAAGCCCATCGCGCAAGCCTGCACGAACGGCGACAGCGGCGACGGCGCCGCGAAGAAGTCGCCGCCGGCGTTCCAGACCTCCTCGAGCGCCGCGTAGCGGTCGCGGTCGAGCTCGGACTGGTCGCCGTCGCCCGTGGGGGCGCCGTAGGCCGGGTGCGTCGCGCAGGCGCCGACGACGGCGGGCGCGTAGCGCCGCGCGCTGTCGACGGCCCGCTCGACGTGCGCCGCGACGCCCGCGGCGAGCAGGCGCGCGCGCTCGCGCTCCGCGCAGGCGGCGAAGAGCCGCCACTCCGTCGCGCGCGGGTCGACCTTCAGGGGCGCGCCGGCGGCCAGGTCGCCGGCGGCGACGACGTCGACGCGGTCGCGCGCGGCGACGACGCGCGCCGTAAACGCCGCGGGCGCCGGGTCCGCGACGAGCAGCGCGCCCGCGGCGCCGAGGACGCAGTGCTCGTGCGCGCCCACCTGCACCGTGTCGCCGCGGTGGATGGGCAGCATCGTCGCGTCGGTCTTGGCAATCGTGAGCAGGACGGCGCCTTTGGTGGTTGCTTCCGCGGCGTAGAGCTCGTCCTCGCCGTCGTCGCCGGGCCGCGTCGCGATCGCGACGTGCCAGAGGTGCCGCGCTGTCGCGTCGTCGGTCGACGACGCGGTCGCGCTGGCTGCGGGCGCTGTGGAGGCCGCCATGCTCTCCCGAGCCGGCGAGCTGCTGCCACACTGGCCCACAGCCCCAAGCAAGCGTGTACTAGTACAGGAATTTCGTGTCGCAGCACGGGATCTTCTGGCCCGTGTCGCTGTCGCACCTGTCGCAGCCGATGTCGCACCCGTTGCTGAACCAGAAGCAGGCCTGGCCGTTCGAGCCGGAGAGGTTGCGCCAGTCCGTGGAGATCGCGCTCTCGTGTGCGCACCAGTTGGGCGTGTCGAACGGGACCGGGTCGGGCACGCTCCCGTTCCACGGCGCGAGCGATCCATCGATGGCCTGCCGCGGCTTGGGGTGCGTCACGGCGCCGTGCGCGGCGACGGAGCGCAGCCAGCCAGCGACGAGGAGGAGCGCGGGCGACGACTGGCGCCCCATCCCGAGGTTTGAACTCGTCGCCCAGATCGAGTGGGCTGCGTTTCAGAGCTCGGAGAGCGGGTAAACATGCGTGCTTGAGGTCGCTCGATCATCCGCGCCGACCGCCCGCTCGCGAGCCACTGCGCTTGAGCACCTCGTCGCGTCGCGCGCGCACCGCGCCGCGCCGCAACCCGCGCGCAGCCATGGCCGGCCGCAAGATGACGCCGAAGGGCCAGATGGCCTTCGGGGGCGGCCCGCCGATCACGCACCTGCCGCCGGCCATGAAGGCCATGTTCCAGCCCGGCCCGCCGCTGCTCTTCCGCGAGAAGATCAGCAAGCGGCGGCCGACGCCCTACACGGGCGTCGCCGCGTACCGCGACCTCTTCGAGACGACCGCGCCGCCGGAGCCGGAGAAGAACGAGACGCCGCGCGAGCGCCGCGCCAAGGTCAAGGCCGAGAAGGCCGAGGCGCACGACGCGCGGCTCGCGACGGCCGTCGCGGCCTGGGACCCGCAGAAGCCGCCGGACGCCGTCGCGCCGCTCACGACGGGCGACGCGTACAAGACCTTGTTCGTCGCGCGGCTGTCCTACGACACGACGGAGAAGAAGCTCCGGCGCGAGTTCGAGCAGTTCGGCGCCATCAAGGCCCTGCGCGTCGTCCACGAGCGCGACCCGGACCACGAGCCCATGGAGGGCGACGACGACGCGCTGCACGCGGGCACGCCGCGGGGCTACGCGTTCGTCGAGTTCGAGCGCGAGTCCGACATGCGCGACGCCTACAAGCGCGCGGACGGCCGCAAGATCGACGGCCGCCGCGTGCTCGTCGACGTCGAGCGCGGGCGCACCGTGCGCAACTGGCGGCCGCGCAAGCTCGGCGGCGGCCTCGGGTCCACGCGGAAGCGCGGCGCGGCGCCGAACAACGGGTCGCGGCCGGGAGGGCAATTCCAGCCGTCGCGCGTCGTGTCGTCCAACGCGCCGGCCTACCGCCCGCCGCCGGCGCCGGTGCGCCAGGTCTCCACCGGCCCGCCCCGCCGCGACCGCTCCCGGTCCCGCGACCGCGGCCGCCACCGCGACGACGACCGCCGCCGCGACCGCTCCCGGTCCCGCGACCGCCGCCGCTGAACTCCTCCTCGCGGGGGTGCGTGGTGGTGCTCTAAAGATAGCTGCCCGCAATGCTGCGTAAACGCCGCGTTGGCTAAGTGTTGAATTTGCGTTCCGCAACTTTGTGTGCAACACCGGCCTCCCCACCCGTACATTTTGTGCACGCGCCGCTGACAGCCCAAGCTCTCGGCGCCGAATGTTGCAGTGCGCAAAAGCTGCATTCTCGTCGCGTTGGTCTGCAAGGCCATCGACAGCAAGCCCGTGTCCAAGACGAACCTCAAGACGTCGAAGCCCGTCTCAAAGGCGGACCTCAAGGCGTGAGGAGGACGAGCTCGAAAATCGATAAGAAGGTACCCGTAGCGTCATTACCCGCCGCCCCCCCGCTGCTGCTGCGACCCTCCCCGCGTCCCGCTCGCCGGGAGCGAGTAGCCGTCGTAGACGTCGGACGATACGAAGCCGCAGGACGAGTCGCGCTTCAGGACGCCGTTGCCCGTCGCGTTGTCGAAGGAGAAGCCCGCGCAGCTCGTCGTGTGGCAGCAGACGAACTTCGCCTCGCGCAGGCTCAAGCTCGAGAAGCCGCCGAGGTTGCCCGCGTCGCCGCCGCACGCCTCCCGGTAGCCGCCCGCCGTCGCGACCCAGCCCTCGTCGAGGCAGTCCGACGACGCGGACGTCGTCGCCGCCGCCGACGGCACGACATTTTCGTTCGCGACGAAGCCGTCGTCGTCGTATAAAGCGGACACCTTGGCGTGGCCCGTCCAGCCGGGCCGGCGGTCGACGCCGCAGCCGACGTCGCGGAGCAGGGACCCGCTCCGCCTGGGCAGGACAAGGGTGATTCAATTTCGCTTCAACGTGAGTGTTCCGCGCGCGCGCGTTCCCAAAAAAACATCCACGCTTCGAGACCGTTCCGAGAGATGACCGCTCGTCCAAGAATTAGCCAAAACGAGTGGAAAACGGCCGAGATATGAGCCTTTGAAGTTGGGAATTTCGCTCTCTTGTCCTGCCCTGCGCTCCGCGTCGCGTTGTCGTAGGAGAAGCCCGCGCAGTCCGCGTCCGCGCAGCACGTCTCCCGCGCCTCGTCCAGCGTCCAGCCGACGAAGGCGTCGAGGTCGCCGAGGCGGCTGCAGGCCTCGCGGACGCCGTCTTCGGTCACGACCCAGTCCGTCGCCGCGCACCGCTTCGCCGGCGACGGCGCGAGCGTCCGCGCGGCGGCCGTCGCGGTCGACGCCGTCGAGGAGCCGCGTATCAGCGCGGCGCTCGCGCTCGTCGGCGTCAGCGCGGCGCTCGCGCTCGTCGGCGCCGCGGGGGCCGCCGTCGGCGCGGCCGTCGCGTCGCGGCCGCGGCGGCCCTCGGTCCGCGGCGGCGAGTTCCGCGAGTTCGAGAGCTCGTCGAAGTAGACGCCGGCGAGGAAGACGACGCAGACGAGCGCCGCCGTGCGGCAGCAGGCGCCGTAGGCGCAGCGCCGCTTCGGGACGACCTCGCGCTTCTCGCGGCCCGGCGCGAGCAGCGTCTCGGCCTCGCCGAGGAACGTCGGCGCCGCGGGCTTCTCCGCGAGCTCGAGGCCCTTGACGAGCTTCTCGCGCGCCTGCTTGGCGGGGCGCGGCTCCTTTCGGGCGTCGCCGGCCTTCTTCGAGGCCTTCGACGGCTTCCGCGCGTCGGCCGCGGCGCCGTCGCCCTTGGGCCGCGGCGGCGTCTTCGTCTTCTCGGTCGGCGTCCGCTCCCGCCGCTCCTTTTTTCGCGGCGGCGTCTTCGGCAGGTAGGGGTCGTCCGCCGGGGCGGCGGCGCCCGCGGACGCCTTGAGGCGCTCGAGCTCCTCGCGCGCCCTCCGCATGGACCGCGTCTCCGCGTCGGGGCTCGCCTCGGCGGCGCTCCGCGCGTCCGGCGCCGCCCGGGCGATGGAGCTCGCCTCGGCGGCGCGCTGCTGCGTGTCCTGCGCCGCCTTGGCGAGGCGCCGCTGGGCCGCCCGGCGGTCCTGGCTGCCGTGCTGCTCCTGCATCTGCCGGATGCGCTCCTTGCGCTGGGCGACGCTCACGGGCTCGCGGCCGAGCACGCTCTCGGCCAGAGCCGTCGTCGACGACGCCGAGGCTGCCTCGGAGACGAGGCCGGGCAGCGGAAAAGCGTCGGCCATCGTGAGACTGCGTATGCAACAATTTTTTCTTGAATATTCACCTCTGGCCTTGCCGGCGAGACGATGGGCGCATCCAAATAGTGGGCTGCTCCCCTCGACCATGGGCGATGCAGCGCCGGAGGACGACGCGCGCGCGCGCGCGTGCTTCGAGGCCACCGCCGGAGGAGCGCCGCGCGGCGCTCCTCGGCCCGAGCGGCGGGCGCTGGCCTGCCGCTGGCTCGTGCGGTCCCTGCGCGAGTCCTGGTCCAAGGCCTGCGGCGGCCGCTACGACTTTTGCGCCGTCGAGCCCCTCGTGCGCGCCGCGGCGCTCGCGCTCGTCACGCTCGCGCTCGAGCCCGCGCCGCTCGACGGCGCGCCGGACGTCGGCGCCGTCGAGCGGTACCTCGCGGCCAAGCTCGCGGCGGCCGAGGCCGGCGCCGCGCCGCCGCTCGCGCCGTCGCGCCAGCTCCTCGTCGGCGTCGTCGCCGCGGCGCTGCACGTCACCGACCCCTGGGGCGTCGCGCGGATCGAGAACGCGGTGGATCTCCACCCGCTCGACGGCCGCCACGGGCCGGACGACGCGGCGCTCGACCGGCTCCGCCGCGAGGCGGCGACGCTCCACTCCCACGCCGAGTGGCTCGCGCGCGCCGCGCAGGCGTCCGACGCGCGCGTGCCCGCGGCCGAGAGCCGGCTCATCCGGGGCCTCGCGGAGTCGACGGCCGCGAGCCGCGTGCAGCTCGAGGCGCTCGGCAACAACCTGGGCCTGCCGCCGCCGCCGGCCGTCGCGCGAATACCGGCGGGACCCGACGACGCGCCGCCGGACGACTGGTTCCGGTCCGTGCTCATCGCGCGCGCGGACGTCGAGCGCCGCGCGGCCGCCGCGGAGCCGGACGAGCGCGAGAGCGACGACGGCGAAGGAGTGGTGGAGGAGCCGCCCGAGGAGATCCTCAACATGTTCATCCAGGAGGAGGGCCTCAGCGACGAGACCGAGTCCGAGGACGACGGGGGGCCCGCGCCGGAGTCCGACGAGGACACGGCGCCCGACCCCCACGTCGCGCTGTAACACAAAAATTAGCACGCAAGCGTGGCGGCTGTGGTTGTGTGACGAAAAATTAAGTATTTGTCAAGTTGGTCGACCTCCTTGAGGCAGTTTTGAGCGATTTTGCCTGCCGATCCGATCGGCGTCGCGAGCGAGTCGAGAGACGAGGTATGAGCCCAAGCCGAGACATGTCGTGGCGGGAGAAGAAGTTGGAGTATGAGAACCGCATGGCCCGAGCGAGGGGCAAAAAACTCGACACTCTCAAGACCTGCACGATCTGCGGCGCCGACAAAGCCAAGGCCTGTCAAGGATGCGGCACGACGGCCTACTGTTCGACGGACTGCCAACGCATCGACTGGCGCGACCGGGGCCACCGGAAGGTCTGCAAGAAGATCCAGGCCGCGGAGGCGGCGCGGGCCGAGGCGCCGACGCCCCCGCCGTCGCCACCGCGCGAGGTGTTCTACGGCCCCGCGCCGCGATCGCACGCCGACGAGGTCCGCGCGCGCATCGCGGCGGAACACGAGGCGGCCCGCGTGCGGCGCGAGGCGAACCCGGAGCGGGAGCCGCTGTCGGCACGGCTCGGGTCGCGGTGCCCGATCTGCCTCGAGGAGTGGGACGTGAATGCTCCGGACCTGTTCCGCATCTGCTGCTGCCGAATGGTCTGCCAATCGTGCGAGGACAAGATCGGCACCAACGCGTGTCCCCTCTGTCGTCTGCCGCGCGCAGAAACTGATGCGGAGCAGCTCGCGCGTCTTCGCCGCCATGTGGAGAACGAGGTGCCAGAAGCAATTACGTTTTTGGGAACCGCGTACAGCCAGGGCGGTCACTTCGGCCTCGTGAAATCCGATAAGAAAGCGGCAAAGATTTACCGGCGCGCTGTGGAGCTCGGGAACGTGGACGCGATGTCACGACTTGGGGAAATGACCGAGTATGGAAGTGGCGTCAAGCTGGACAAGAAGAAGGCGGAGCGGCTGTATCGCGCGGCCGCAGACCGGGGCTGCGCGATCGCGCAAAGCAGTCTGGCGTATTTACTTCATTCTGAGGGGAAATGTGAAGAAGCGTTCCGGTACTTCGCGCTCGCGGCGAATCAAGGCCATACTATTACAGAGAGTTGCCTTGGCTGTTGTTACAGGGACGGAGAAGGCACGGAAGTCGACCTCGGCAAAGCCAGATACTGGTTCGAGCGCGCCGCTGCCAAGGGCGACGAGAGAGCTATAGAGAGCCTCGCGGCCCTCGACGCGCGCGTATAGCCTAAGTCTTTACGCCGCGTCGTCGCCCGAGCCTGGGATGCTGCGCTTGCGCGCGGGCGATGGCGTCGTCGTCGCCGCGTTCCTCTCCGCGCCGACCTTCGCGGTCTGGTGCCTGGCATTTCTGAACGCCAAGCCCGCTTGGCGCAAGGCCGACACCGCCGCCGAGGGGGGCATGGAGAGCGACACGAACGCGATGCTCTAGGGGCGGGCTTAGCCCTGGCGCAGGTTTTGAGCGATTTTGCCTTTGCGATCGCATCGAGCATGACGCCCCCCGTCAAGGACGCGCGCCGAGTCATGTCGTGGCGGGAGAAGAAGTTGGAGTATGAGAATCGCATGGCCCGAGCGAGGGGCAAAAAACTCGACACTCTCAAGACCTGCACGATCTGCGGCGCCGACAAGGCCAAGGCGTGCCAAGGATGCGGCACGACGGCCTACTGTTCGACGGACTGCCAACGCATCGACTGGCGCGACCGGGGCCACCGCAAGGTCTGCAAGAAGATCCAGGCCGCGGAGGCGGCGCGGGCCGAGGCGCCGCCGCCCCCGCCGTCGCCACCGCGCGAGGTGTTCTACGGCCCCGCGCCGCGGTCGCACGCCGACGAGGTCCGCGCGCGCATCGCGGCGGAACACGAGGCGGCCCGCGTGCGACGCGAGGCGAACCCGGAGCGGGACCCGACGTCGGCGCGGTTTGGGTCGCGGTGCCCGATCTGTCTCGAGGAGTGGAACGTGAATACTCCGGGCATGCTTCGCATCTGTTGCTGCCGAAAGGTCTGCAAGTCGTGCGAGCGCAAGATCGGCTTCGGCGCGTGCCCTCTCTGTCGGATACCATGCCCAAATGACGATGCGGAGCTGCTCGCGCGTCTTCGCCGCCATGTGGAGAACGAGGTGCCGGAAGCGATTAGGTTTTTGGGAGACGCGTACTGCGAAGGTCGGTACGGTCTCGTGAAATCCGATAAGAAAGCCGCGAAGATTTGGAAGCGCGCAGTGGAGCTCGGGAACGTGGAGGCAATGGTCAGACTTGGGTACTCGTACGAAACTGGAAGTGGCGTCAAGCTGGACAAGAAGAAGGCGGAGCGGCTGTATCGCGCAGCCGCAGACCGGGGCCACGCGGTCGCGCAATTCAATTTAGGGATTCGCCTTCATTCTGAGGAGAAACATGAAGAAGGGTTCCGGTACTACGCGCTCGCGGCGGATCAAGGCTATACCAATGCGGAGAACAACCTTGGCTGCTGTTATGAGCGCGGAAAAGGCACGGAGGTCGACCTCGGCAAAGCAAGATACTGGTTCGAGCGCGCCGCTGCCAAGGGCCACGAGAAAGCGACACAGTCCCTCGCGCGCCTCGACGCGCAAGTATAGTCTAACAATCTTTACGCCGCGTCGTCGCCCGAGCCCGAGATGCTGCGCTTGCGCTCGGGCGAGTCGTGCTTGGCCTTGGCGTCATCGTCGCCGCGTTCCTCTCCGCGCCGACCTTCGCGGTCTGGTGCCTGGCATTTCTGAACGCCAAGCTCGCTTGGCGCAAGGCCGACGCCGCCGCCGAGGGGGGCATGGAGAGCGATACGAACGCGATGCTCTAGGGGCGGCCTTAGGGGGATTTTGAGCGATTTTGCCTTCGAGCACGCGAAAGCCGAGTCGAGAGCTGGCGGCGATAGGACGCGCCGAGACATGTCGTGGCAGGAGAAGAAGTTGGAGTATGAGAATCGCATGGCCCGAGCGAGGGGCAAAAAACTCGACACTCTCAAGACCTGCACGATCTGCGGCGCCGACAAAGCCAAGGCGTGCCAAGGATGCGGCACGACGGCCTACTGCTCGACCGATTGCCAACGCATCGACTGGCGCGACCGAGGCCACCGGAAGGCGTGCAAGAAGATCCGCGACGAGCGCGCGGCGGAGGCGGCGCGGGCGGAAGCCCCGATGCCCACGCCCGAGGTGGTCTACGGCCCCGCGCCGCGGTCGGGCGCCGACGAGGTCCGCGCGCGCATCGCGGCCGAACACGAGGCGGCCCGCGCGCGGCGCGAGGCGAACCCGGAACCAGTGCCGCGGTCGGCGCGGTTTGGGTCGCGGTGCCCGATCTGTCTCGAGGAGTGGGTTGTGAATGAAGCTACCACGTTTCGTCCCTGCTGCTGCCGGTTGGTCTGCGAATCGTGCGAGGACAAGATCGGCACCGACGCGTGTCCCCTCTGTCGAGTACCGTGCCCAAAGACCAATGCGGAAGCACTCACGCAAATTCGCCGCCATGTGGAGAACGAGGTGCCGGAAGCAATTGCGCATTTGGGAAATGCGTACCGCGAAGGTTGGTACGGCCTCGTGAAATCCGATAAGAAAGCCGCGAAGATTTGGAAGCGCGCCGTGGAGCTCGGAGATGTGCAAGCGATGGTATTTCTTGGGGAGATGTACGAGGATGGAAGTGCCGTCAAGCTGGACAAGAAGAAGGCGAAGCGGCTGTATCGCGCGGCCGCAGATCGGGGCGACGCGGCCGCGCAATACAAGTTAGGGTTTTTACTTGATGCTGAGCAGAAACATGAAGAGGCGTTCCGGTACTACACGCTCTCGGCGGATCAAGGCTATGCCTTTGGAGAGTTCAACCTTGGCTGTTGTTACGGGAACGGACAAGGCACGGAAGTCGACCTCGGCAAAGCCAGATACTGGTTCGAGCGCGCCGCTGCCAAGGGTTACGAGAGAGCTATAGAGTCCCTCGCGGCCCTCGACGCGCGAGTATAGCCTAAGTCTTTACGCCGACGAGGACACGGCGCCCGACCCCCACGTCGCGGCGTAACAAAACATTAGCACTCAGCGCGGCGGCCAGCGGCCGTGGCCCGGCACGACGACGCGGCCGTGGATCAGCGACGTGTCCGTCGCCTCGAGGAACTCGCGGACGACCCTGTCGAGCCGCGACTCGACGAACGCGGCGAGGTGCGCCTCCGTGAGCTTGAACTGGTCGGGCCAGTCCGACGCGGGCCTGCCGCCCGCGGACCGCGGCGGCGCCGGCGGCGCGCAGGTGCCGTCGCGTGCGTGGCAGGTCAGGGGCGGGTAGAGGCGGTACCAGTCGGGCCCCGCGTGCGCCTCCTCGTGGACCGCGCGCGCCATCGCCGCGACCTCGTCGGCCGCGCACTTGGGCGTCCCGTCGCGCGACCCGCAGAAGGCGCAGATCGCCGCGTCGAGCTTGTCCGCGTACGCGGGCGCCTCGGGGAAATCGTCGACGCCCGCGATCTGGAGCAAACTGCGGAGCGCGCCGTAGTCCGTGAAAATGATGTCCGCGCCGCCGTCGTTGCCTGTGTGGATTCCAAATCTGCGCGTAATCGAACGGTTTGGACCAGACTCTTTCGCTCTGCTTCGAGAACTCGACGAGAGCAATCGATTCGTCCAACAATCAGCCGAATCGACCTCGATTTGACCGAGCTAGAGAGTTCTGAAGTTTGGTGGTTGGAATCCACACTGGTCGTCGCCGTTCTCGCCGATGATGAGGCCCTTGTGGTTGATCTCCTCGAGGTGGGGCACGCCCCTGCGGTCGAGCACGAAGTCGGGCGAGAGCATGGCCGCGGGCGACGTCCGCGCCGCGACCGGCGCGCCGCCGCCGCGGGTCCGCGACTCGAGGTCCGCGGCCTCGGCGCCGCGGGCCCGGAGCTTGTCCCGCGACCGCAGCAGCACCTTGGTCAACAAGCCCTCGACGCGCGGCCACGTCGTCGACGCCAGGAGCGCCTCGTTGCCCGCGCGCGTCGACGCGGCGCCCCGGTAGGCCCGCGGGCCGAACGTCGCGCGCTCCGTAAAGGCGCGCGACGCCGTCGACTTCGGGTAGCCCTCCGGCTCCATGCCCGCCGTGAACTGCGCGACGGATTTGACGCCGCACGACGGGTTCATCAACAGCTTGATGTGGGCGCAGTCGTCCTCGAGCGGTTTCACGGCGCCAAAGGTGCCGTTCTCGACCGAGCGCCGCGTCGTGCTCGCGATCTTCGTGAGGCCGTGGCGGAGCACGTGGACGCGGAGCGGGTCCACGGACGTCACCAGCGCCCAGACGCGGACGTCGTACTTGCGCCCGAAGATCTCCGACACGTCCTCGACGAAGTTCTGGAAGACGACCTTGCGCCGCGCGCAGTACTTGCGATGGGGGACGTCCAGAACGGACCCGTCGTCGCATTCGCCTCGTTTCATGTGCTTCGCGATCCACGCGAGGAACGCGCCGTCGCTCGCGAGGTCCGCGGCGTGGTCGAGGCGCGCGAGGTGCATGCCCCGCGACTGGTGGAGGCCCGCGGCGAGGCGCGACTGGGGCTTGACGATCCACGCGGACGACTCGAGGCCCTCGCGCTCGTGGAGGTATTTCTGGATCTCGCCGCGGAGCTTGGCGAGGCGCGGGACGTCGCGGGCCCGCAGCCGCGCCTTTTCCCGCGCGTCGAAGCGGTCGTGGCGCCAGTCGACGACCTCCTCGCCGTTGACGTCGAAGCTCACGAGCAGGCCCCGGCCCGCGAGGCGCGGGCACAGCGCCGCGCGGCGCCGGCCCGACTCGACGTCGTCGACGCAGTGGCGGTAGAGCTCCGTCATCGCCTGCTTCGCGCCGAGGTCCGACGCGCCGGGGAGCACGCCGCCGCCGACGACGCCGCCGTCGGCGAAGGCCGGCGACAGGGGGCGGGCCCAGGAGCGGTTCCAGGGCGGGAAGTCGTGGCCGAAGAAGACGTCGACGCTCCCGTCGGGCGGCGCCTTTTTTTTCGAGTACGCGCAGAGGCCCAGCGCGGCCATCTCCTCCCGGACGAAGGGCATGTCCTTGCGCGTGTCCGGCACGAAGAACCAGCGCGGGCCGCAGCTCCCCGGGGGACGCCGCGTCGGCCCGTCGAGGAGGTCGCAGAGCTGCCGCTGCCGCGCGGCGGCGTCGAGCGACGCGTTGCCGCGCCGCGCGGCGATGGCCGCGAGGCTCCGGTGCATGGACACGTTGGGCGCCCCGAGCCGCGCCGCGAGGCCCTCCAGGAGGGCGTGCTGCGGCGCGCTCGCCGACGGCGGCGGCGCGCGGGCCGCGGCGCAGCGGACGGAGGGCCGCGGCGCGCACGTCCGCCGGCACTCCTTGCGGCACGCGCCGGGGCACGCGGCCCAGCCCTTGACGCCGCCGGCGTCGCGCCAGGAGCACTTGTGCTTCCAGCTCTTCGTCGTCGCGGCGACGGCGAGGTAGGCGCAGTCCTTCTTCGGGTCGTCGTGAAACCACGACGACGAGTCGACGCACGACCGCCGGTCCGGCGGGTTCGCGGCGGCGCGCGGCGCGGTCGGCGCCGGCGGTTTCGGCGGCGGTTTCGGCGCTGCTCTCGCAGGCGGCGGCTTCGCGAGCACGGCGTGCATGGCCGAGCCGTCGTGCGGCGCGGGCGGCGCGGGCAGGTGGAGGTGCGAGAAGAAGGTGTGCTGAATGAAGTAGACGATAAATGCGGCCACGACGCCGGCGATGAAGGCCGCGGTTACCGGAGATCGTCGGCGCGGAGGCATCTCTGTGTGGCGGTGGCCGCTAATGCGCTAGTGATTGCTGCCCTGCGACGCCTCCATCGGTGGTCGGCCACTTCGGCGAGCGCGTCTCAAATAACCAAGGTCGCCACGAGGCGACCACGGACAAAAGATTCGAACCTCACGCCGAGGTGGGTGGGTGGGTCCGGAGGCCTGATTTGGAAAATCTACAGTGTACTGATGGGTACTTGTAACGCGCGCGCGCGCGCGCGGTCATGACCCGCAGTGCCGCGGCTGACGGTCGCGCGGCGCCTCGGCGACGTGTCTTCACGCCGCTATCGTCGTCTCTGGGCAAGCGCCGCTTCTCGCCGCGGCGAGTCGAGCGGCGCGGGTGCCCGTTCTCATCGCAAAGCGGAGATTGGACCGCGCAGCTCCGCGACACGAGAGAGCGCGCGCGCGGAATCGCGCGCGCGTTGTGGCGATTTTGCGAGCGGCAACTTGAAGGCAACTAACGAAAAGGAGGTCCCTGATTGGCCAGGAGGTGGGTGGGTGGGTGCCGGGCCCGCGAGCGAGGAACCCGGCGTAGGGTACCGCGGCTTTTATCCCGGGCGCCTCTTGAGGTCGCCCCAACTTCGCCCGCCACAACCATCGTCCCGTCGCATACATTCACCTCGAGTCATGTCGAAGACGGCCACCGAGGTCGACGTGGACTCCATGAGCATCAAGGCCATGAAGGCGCTCATTGAATCGGTCGGCATGCCGCACGCCGATTGCGTCGAGAAGAGCGACTTGCGCGCCCGGTGCCGCGAGGCGTTGGCGCGGCGCGGGGAGGCGGAGCGCGGCCCGAGCCCCGCGGAGCGCGCCCCGAGCCCCACGGCCGGAACGGAAGCGCCGGAAGAAAAGTTGATGGACTGGCAGGTGAAGCAGCGCGAGTACGAGGTGAAGAAGGCGCGGGCGAAAGCGCTGAAGCTCCGGCTCACCTGCACCATTTGCGGCGAAAAAGCCAAGCTCAACTGCCCCTGTGGGACGACACAGTGCGATCCCGGCGCCAGAACGGGCCGGGGGCGGCGCGCTCGCGCCGCGCGACGCGTCCCGGGGCGCCGTCACGCGCGACCCGACAGGTACTGCACGACCGAATGTCAACGCATCGACTGGCGCGACCGCGGCCACCGAAAGGCCTGCAAGAAGATCCGCGATGAGCGGGCCGCGGAGGCGACGCGGGCGGAAGCGCCGCCATCTGGGCCGCCGCCCACGCCCGAGGTGGTCTACGGCCCCGCGCCGCGGTCGCACGCCGACGAGGTCCGCGCGCGCATCGCCGCCGAACACGAGGCGGCTCGTCTGCGGCGCGAGGCGAACCCGGAGCCGGAGCCAGTGAACGCGCGGTACGGGTCTCGGTGCCCGATCTGCTTGGAAAAATGGGACGTGAACGAGCCAAACGTTCTGCGCGTCTGCTGCTGTCGTACGGTCTGCCGATGGTGCGATAAGAAGATTAAGATGGAGGAACCGTGCCCTCTCTGTCGGGCACCGGCCGCTAAGAGCATAGCAGAGCGACTGGCTCGACTTCGACGCCACGTGGACAACGAGCAGCCGGAGGCGATCACTACTTTGGGCGACGCATACTTGCATGGCAATTATGACTTTGTGAAATCCGCGAAAAAGGCCGCAAAACTCTACAAACGGGCCGTGGAGCTTGGAAACGTCGACGCGATGATACACCTCGGGCTCATGTACTCGGATGGGAGAGGAGGTGTCAGGATGGACAAGAAGAAGACGGTGCAGCTCTATCGCATGGCCGCGAACCGGGGCCTCGCGATCGGGCAGCAGAATCTCGCTACTGAACTACGTGAACTCGGGTGCGAAGAGGAGGCTTTTCGGTTCTATAAACTAGCTGTGGAGCAAGGGCTCATTACCGCAATGACCGACCTCGGCTGTTGCTACGAGTTCGGAGTCGGCGTGGCTCAGGACCTCGACGAAGCTCTACGCTTGCATACACGCGCGGCGGCCACGAGCAAAGAGACGGCGCGACGACGTTTTGAACAATACTACACACGTGATGATTACGTCGCGGAGCAAGAATCAGTCGCGAGGACCGCCCAATTCGGCCTCGACAGAATCACGCAGACGCTCGCGGCGAGAAGGCGCCGATACTAGAAGTAACAACACGCCCTTTTAAAGCACCCGTCTCTCACGACACGACGCACCCGCCGCCGCCGCCGCCGTCCGCCGGCGGGGACGAGTCGCGCCCCCGCTGGCGGGAGCTGTGCTTGCGGCCGCCGGGGCGGTTGCGGCCGCCGCGGCCCCGGGGCTTGTCCTGCTGCGATTCGACGTTGGAGCCGCGCGAGTTCTTGCGCGCGTGGCGCGGCCTCGGCTTGTCCTGCTGGGGCGGCGAGTGGGAGAAGACGCTCAGCAGCTGGGGGAGGCTGTGCGCGGACGGCTCGCGGCCCGCGTCGTCGCCGTCGTCGTCGCGGGCCGCGCGCCGCGACCGCGAGCCGCGCGGGTCGCGGCAGACGGCGGCGACGCGCAGGAGCAGGGCCGCGTGGACGTCGCGCGCGAAGGCGCGGATCGTCGCGCCGTCGGCGCGCGACAGCGGCGGCCCGCGGCGCGGCGCGAGCACGTCGAGCCGCGCGCCTAACGCGCGGCCGCCGCCGTCGCTGCCCGCGGCGCGGCAGTGCACGGCCACGAGGCAGTGGCTCGCGCCGCCGCGGTCCGCGCGCGTCACCAGGGGCACGACCCAGGCGTCGCGGTGCGGGTCGCCGCCCCGGGGCTCGACGACGGGGTTGCCGTCGCGCGCCGCCGCCGCCAGGACGTCGCGCCACGGGACCCTCAAGTCGCCGTCGGGCGCGCCGTCGCGGCGCAGGAGCAGCGCGATGCGCGAGTTCCACGCCGCCAGCGGCCGCCGCGCGTAGTAGGCGCCGTAGCGCCGCAGCGACCGGCGGTCCAGGGCCAGCGTCCGCAGCTCGTCCTCGGCCTTGCGCGCCTCGGCCTTTCGCCGCGCCTTCTCCGTGACCGCGCGGCACGCGTCCCAGAAGGCGCGCTCCTCGGGCGACCCCGCCGCCGGGAGGCCGAGCCCGTAGGCGACGACCTCGCTGCGCAGCTCGGCGACGGCGACGAGCGCGCCGCCGCCGCGCGCGAGGCGGACGCCGCCGGGCCCGCCCGCGACCTGTGTGGAATTCAAATCTTCAACCCGACTTCAATGTGCGCATATGACAGTTTCGACGCAAGCTCTTCGGCTGTGCTTCGAGAATTCGACGAGAGCAATCGATTCGTCCAAAAATCAGCCGAATCGACTTCGATTTGATCGAGCTAGAGAATTTGAAGTTTGGTCAGGACCACCCAAACCAGTGGTTGAATTCCACACAGCCCGCGACGCCCGGGTACGCGTCCTCGCGGTCGCTCTCCTCGGACTCCGACGACCCGCTCGACGGGGCCAGATCGTCGTCGTCACTGCTCTCGAACTCGTCGCTGTCGCTCGAGTCCTCGAGCGCCGCCGCGCCGACGACCGCGGCGCCCGCGGCGCCCGCGGCGCCGGGCAACACCCGAAGCGCGCCGTCGCCCGCGGGCGACTTCGCGCGGCGCCGCTCGCGGTCCTCGTCGTCGTCCCCCCCGGGGGTTTCCGGAGCGCGCCGCCGCCGCCGCGAGAAGTCGTCGAAGGCGCTCCCCGTGAGGCGCCGCACCGTCAGCAGATCGCCGTCCTTACGGCACAGCACGTCCGCGAAGAGTAAGGTCCGCGCGTCGCGCCGTCGTAGCAGCCGCCGCCGCCGCGCCGAGGCCACGGCGAGGCGCGCCGCGAAGGTCCGCGCCGCGTAGTCGATTTTGGTCTTGCCGAGGAGCGTCCGCGCGGTCGCGTACTCGCCGCCGCGCGTCGACAGGTCGCCCGCGCGCGCCTGGGCAGCAAAAGAGTGATTCAACATCGCTTCAACGTGAGTGTTCCGCGCGCGCGCGTCCCGGGAAAAGCATCCACGCTTCGAGACCGTTCCGAGAGATGATCGCTCGTCCAAAAATCAGCCGAAACGAGTGGAAAACGGCCGAGATCGGAGCCTTTGAAGTTGGGAATGTCGCTCTCTTGTGCTGCCCTGGCGCGCGCGCCGACGCGCGCGACGAGCCGCAGCGGCGCGGCGCCGCTCGGCCTGGACCGGGACCGCCGCGGCAGCGACGCGGGGCGCCCCCGCTCGCCGTCGGACAGGTCGTCGTCGCCGTCGTAGCGCTCGAGGGACAGGGCCAGCGTCAGCGTGCCGCCCGTGCGGTCGTCGCGGATCACGTCGCCCGCGGCGCCCGAGTTCACGCGCTCGAGGACGACGTCGCCGCCCGGCGCCGTCCACTCGGCCAGGGCCGCGAAGCGGAAGGCTAAAGCGCAGGCGTAGGCCTCGCCCACGGCGACGTCCTCGGGCCCGTCGTCGTCGGACGACGACTGGTCGAGCTCGCGCCGGTCCTCGCCGTCGCCCTCCTCCGACGAGTCCGACGAGTCGCGCCGCGCGGGGCCGCAGTCGAAGCGCGCGTCCGAGGACCGCCGCGTGCCCTGGCCCCCGGCGCCGCCCCGGAGCCGCGCCGCGACCTGGAGCACCGTCGCCTCCGCGGACGCGAGGACGTCGTCCGAGTTGCTGCGCCCTCGTCGCGCCGCGCGCCGCCCAAAGGCCGCGACGGCGCGGCAGGCGGCGTCGTCGCTCGACGCGTCGTCGATCGCCGCGTCCAACACCCCCTCGTGGTCGCCGTCGCCGCCGCGCCACCAGGGCAGGCCCGCGCCCCGGAAGAAGTCGCGCGGGTCCAAGGGCTCCGCGGACGCGGGCCTCCGGTTCTTCTTCCGGCTCCGCTTCTTCTTGCCCGTCGACGGCAGGGGCTCCGGCGGCGGCTCGGCGCCGTCGGGCGCGCTCGACCCCGCGCGGGCGACGGCCAGCTCCAGGCGCCGCTGCCGCGCGCGGCACCGCGCGGCGCCGTCGCCGAGCGCGGCCGCGACGGCCGCGACGGCGCGCGCGGGCGCGCCGTAGGCCCGCAAACTCCGCCGGTCCGCCCGCAGCGTCGCGAGCAGGCAGCCGCCGCCGGCCATGGCGCCGAAGACGCGCCAGGTCTGGGACCCGCCCCGCGGCGGCACGACGTCGGCCGCCGCGCCGGCTTTGGCGAACGCGCGCGCGGCGCCCTTCGCGAGGCGGCACAGGCTCCAGGGCGGGACGGCGTCTTTGCTCGCGAGCGCCGCGGCGTCGACGGCCTCGGCCTTCGCCGCCGCGTCGAGGGCGTCGCCCAGGCGTTCAACGTCCAACGGCGACGCGCCGCCGGCCGCCTCGCGCCGCTTCAGCAGCCTTCGCAGCGCGATCTCGACGCGCGCGGCCGCCGCGCCGCGGAGCGCCGCGCGCGTCAGCCAGGTCTTGAGGCGTTCCACGGCGCCGTCGTCGTCGACGCCCACGAGGACGCAGGCGCAGGCGACCTCGCCCCCCGCCAACCGCAGGTCCGCGAGGCCGACCCGAAACCCCGGGTCGCCGCTGCGGTACGTCGTCGCGAGGACGACCTGGACGCCGCCCGGCGGCGCGCCCAGCGCGTCGGCCCAGGCGCCCGCGTCGCAGCGGCCCGGCCGCGAGGAAAAGTGGACGTCGTCGAAGGCGCCCGACGCCGCGCGGCGACAACACGCGGCGACGACGGCCGCGCAACAGCCGTCGCGCGCCTCCGCGTCGAGCGCCGCGCGCACGTCGACGGCCACCGCCGCCCGCGTCGGCCGCTCCGCGAGCAGGAGCGCGAGATCGTCGCCGTCCACATCCAGGGGCGCGCGCGCCTCCGGGTCGCCGGCGAAGAAGTCCGCCGTGAACGCGCGGCGCGCGCAGTCGTCGACGTCCGCGACGAACGCGCACTTTAACCTGAGCAGCACAAGAGTGATTCAAGTTCTCTTCAACATGAGTGTTCCGCGCGCGCGCGTTCCGAAAAAAACATCCATGCTTCGAGACCGTTCCGAGGGATGATCGCTCGTCCAAAAATCAGCCGAAACGAGTGGAAAACGGCCGAGATATGAGCCTTTGAAGTTGGGAATTTCGCTCTCTTTTGCTGCCCTGACTTTAACGCCGCGACCGCGGCGTCGGAGAAGGGCCGCGCCCCGAACAGCCGCAGCTCCACGACGCCCGCCGGGTTCGCCCAGAGCCTCGCGTAGCATTCGCTCCCGCCGACGACCGCCGCGCCGTCGGGAGGCGTCGCGGGCGCTTTGGGGGAAGCGTAGACGCGCGTCCGGTTCGTCACCGCGTTCGCCGCCTTGGCGCACTGGCCCTCGGCAAAGGCCCGCTCGAGGTGGGCCAGCGCATCCGCGGCGGACGCGAACCAGGACCGCGCCCGGAAGGGCCGCACGGGCGCGCTGTCCAGTAAATCGCAGGAGAACGGCGACACGTCGACGTCCGCGGCGCCGTCGCCGCCCGCGGGCACGAGGAGCTCGTGCGCGAGGCGCGTGGCGACGACGGCGCCCAACAGCCGCAGCTGGCTCGCGACGCGGGACGCGCGGCTCAGCGCGCAGCGCAGCGCGCGCGCGACGGCCTCGCGGTCCTTGGCCTCGTCGTCCGCGGTCTTGCCCCGGAGCCGCGCGACGCTGATCGTCGTCGTCAGGCCCGCGGCGACGGCGCAGTGCGTCGCCGCGGGCCTGTGCTCCGGCGCCTCCGGGGGCCCGCGCGGCGGCAGCTGGCGCGCGCGCGTCGCCGGGTGGCGCGGCGGCGGCGACAGCGGCGCGCCGGGCGCCGCGCCCGGCGCGGGCGGCGCGGCGGCGGCCGCCGCGCCGAGCGTCGTCCGCCGGCCCATGGCGTAGGTGCCCGCGCCGCCGCGCGCGTAGGCCGCGCGGCCGTAGCGCCGCTGGGGCACGGCGACGACGTCGGCCTGGCGCGCGCTGTAGTGGATCTGGCACTCGTCGACGCGGACGGACGCGAAGTAGCCCTCGGGCGGCCGCTTCTCGTCGCGCGCGTCCACGGCCACGTAGGCGTCGCCCGCGCGCCGGAAGGCGATGCGCTTGAGGGACCTTTCCACGCGAGCGAAGGCCTCGTTCGTCGCGCCGCGGCTCGGCGCGGGCTTCGCGTCGTCCGCGGCCCACCTGTGTGGAAATCAACCAGTGGAATGGACGCGTCCAGCAAAACTTCAAACCTCTATCTCGGTCAAATCGAAGTCGATTCGGCTGATATTTGGACGAATCGATTGCTCTCGTCGAGTTCTCGAAGCACGGCAGAAAGCCTCGCGTCGAAACTGTCGATTAAGCGCACATTGAAGTCGGGTTGAAGATTTTGAAGATTTGATTTCCACACAGCGGCCCACGCCGACCGCTCGCAGAGCGCCGCCGCGAAGAAGGTCTCGAGATTCGGCGGCATGCGCTTGCCCGCGACGCCCGCGTCGTCGCCGCCGTAGGCGACGATGTCGATCTTGCACTCGACGCCCTCGCACGCGAGCCGCGCGGCGTCCTTCGGCGCGTCGACGCCTTTCCGCGCCGCGGCGCCGAGGCACCGCAGCGCCTCCGCGACGCCCAACGCGGGCGCCGCGAGGGGCTCCCGCGGCCGCGCGAGCTTGCACGCGAGGCTCAGCGCGGCGACGGCGGCGTCGAGGCGGCAGCCCAGGTCGTCGAGCGCCGCGTCGACGAGCTTCGGGCGGCCGCGGCCGCGCGCGGCCCGCGGGAGGCCCACGGAGATCTCGTCGCCGTTTCGCCGCGCGAAGAAGCCGCCGCAGGCCTCGTCGTCGTCGGGCAGCCGCTCGCCCGAGTTCGTGCGGCTCAGCCGCCCGCCGCTCGCGGGGATCGTGGCGGGGGCTTTGGCCGCGGACTTGAGCGCGCCCTCGACGGTCTCGAACGACGACGCGCGCGACAACCGCCCGACGGACGGCGGCGGCGTGTAGGGCTCGTCGCCGACCTGGGGCGTCGTGCGCCCGTCCTCGCCCTCGCTCAGCGGGTCCTCGCCGCGCCGCGGGCCGACGAACGCGTACGAGTCGCCGTCGCCGCCCGTCAGCGCGCCCAAGCGCAGAAAGCCCGCGCGGTCCCAGCAGCCCGCGGCCGCGGCCGCGAGCGCGTCGGCCCGCGCCAGGGCCCGCTCGCCCGCGAGGGCCGCGTTCGCGCGCCGGCCGCCGGTCCAGTCGCACCAGTCCAGCGCGTCCCGGACCTCGCGCGCCGTCGCCAGGTCCGGCCGCTCCCTCAGCAGACCGAGCACGCGGCTGCTGAACTCGCCCGCGTGCGCGTCCGCCGCCGCCTGGGCGATGCGCGCGAAGGCCGGGGAGAGGTCCGAGGAGCCGGTCGCGGCCGCCGCGGCGAAGTGGTCCGCGACGGCGCGCGCGTCGACCTCGGCGAAGGTCAGCTCCTCCCCCCTTTCCGTCGACGACAGCGCCGCGACCATGGCCACGCCGTCCTCGACGGCGCACCACGCGAGCCCGTCGTCCTCCGTGCCGTCCAACGCGCACGCGCCGCAGCAGTCGTCGAGCGCCTGGACGACGCGCGCGCGGACGCCCGCGGCCGCGACGCGCCGGAGGATCGCGGATTTCGCCGCGGCCTCGTCCTCGACGCCCGCGTCGCCGTCCGACGCCTCGGGGCTCGCCGGCGGCGGCGCCACGACGAGCGGCCCCAGGGTCGGCAGGTCCAGCGTCCGCGACGTCGGCGCGAAGGACGCGAGCGTCGCCGCGTCGCCGCGCGTCGCGACGTCGCCCCGCTCGAGCGCGGCGAGGCACCGGAGCGCGGCCAAACTCCGCGCGTCGAGGTCTCGCAGCGTCCGTCGCGCCGCGTGGCACGCGGCGACGGCGGGCGACGACCGCGGCCCCGCGTCGCACCACAATTCCACGCGGACGCGGTGGCGCGACGCGTCGACCGCGACGAGCGCCTGCACGACCGCGTCGTCGTCGTCGCGCGCCGCGTCGAGGTCGCCGAGCGCCGCGACGAGCGACGCCCCGAAGAACCCGGGCGCGCGGCACTCGTCGGCGACGCGGAAGCCCAGGCGCCGCCGCGCCCCGAGCAGCGCGGAGAACGCGCCGGCGCCGTCGAGCGCGCCGCCGTCGTACGAGTCGCGGAGCCGCGCGAGCGAGCTCCGGAGCCAGCGCTGCGTCCGCCCGTCGTCGCCCGCCGCCGGCGCGTCGCCGACGACGTCGGCCCAGAAGTCGCGGGGGTCCCGCGCGCGGATGAGGCAGCGGCCCGCGCGCGCCGCGGCGCCGACCGGCGCGTCGCCGCCCGCGGCCCTTAGGAGCCGGTCCCGGAGGTCCGCGGCGAGGCCGCCGGCCGCCGCCCCCCGGCCGCCGAGGCACAGCAGGCTCACGCCGAGCACGCGGCTCCCGACCCAGCGGAGCGCCGCCACGCAGAGCAGCGGCGCGCCGTCGTCCGCGGGCACGACCGCGACGCCGCGCGGCGGCGGCGGCGGCGGCGCCGCGGGCCGCCGCCGCGCGTAGTGGCCCGGGAACCCGGCGCACTGGCGGCCCCAGCGGCTCGCGGCGTCGGCGACGCGCCGGCTCCGCGCCGCCGCGTCGTCGCCGCCGCCCGCGAGCGACAGCTCGAAGGCCGCGACGTCGCCGTAGGCGCCGCGCTCCGACGCCGGCAGCGAGCACGCGAGGCGCTCGAGCGCGTCCTTCGTCGGCGCCTTCTTGCGGTGCCGGGGCGTCTGCGCGGGCGGCGACGTCGACTCCTTGGCCAGGGAGCCGCTCGACGACTTGTCCTCGCGCGGGTCCTCGGAGATGTCGCCGAGCTCGACGGTCTCGTCTAAGAACGAGCCGACGGGCGGCCGCGACGACCCCTTGGGCGACGACTTCGCGACCTTCGCCAGCGGCGTCGACAACCCCGGCAACGACGCCGCGGCCATGGCCACGAGCGCGCCGTCCTGGCGGAGCAGCGCGGCCGCGAGGTCCCGGAGGCGCCGCGCCTTGGGCGCGTCGCGCCTTCCGCCGCGGTCCCACCGCAGGAGCGCGTCGTCGTCGCTGGACGCGCCGGAGACGCGGGACCCCGACGGCGACCGCGTCCGGCTCCGGTCCGACTCCTCGAGCAGCCCCTCGCCCGTCTCGCCGAAGGTCCGCCGCCGCGCGCGCCGCGCCTCGTCCTCGTCCTCGAAGCGCGCCGCGCGCCCCCGCCGCTCGGGCTCGTCCACGGCCTCGCGGTCGAAGTCGCGGGGCCAGCCGTTGCAGGCCGAGGTCGGCGAAACGCCGGAGGACCGCCCGGCGCGCCCGTTCGGCGTCGTCGGCGCGCCCGCGGTCACTCCCAGGTTGTCGAGCGGCGGCAGGTCTCGCAGCGCGCGGACGACGTCCGCGGGCCCGACGACCTCGATGCGCGCCTGGAGCGCCGCGCCCCGCGCCGTGAGCGCCGCGGCGGCCAGATCCGTCGGCGGCGGGAGCTTCGCCGGCGCGCCCTGCACGACGTTGCCGTCCGACGGCGCGCCGGACCGGCGCCGCGCCTCCGCGACCAGATCGCCGTGGCCCGGCGGCCGCAGCTCCACCGTGTAGCGCAGCGTCGTGTCGTCGAACTTGGGCAGCTCCCAGGCTAAAACGATGGGGTCGCGCGTGGACGCGAAGCGCTGCCGCGGCGCGGGCATCGCGAAGCGGACGACGCGCAGGTCGAGCGCGCCCGTCGCCCGCAGGCTCGCCAGGTCCCGCAGCTCGACGTTGGGCAGCGGGTAGGCCGCGAGCTGCTCGCGGTAGACGTCGCTCGACGCGTCGCCGCCCGCGAGCGCGCCCCGCGGGCTCCGCGCGGGCGCCTCGAGCGCCAGCGTCCGCTCGCCGGGGCTCTCCTCGAGGAAGAGGGGCCGGTGGATGGGCGACGGCGCCTCCGGCGGCGCCGACAGGGGACTCCGCCGCCAGAGGAGCTGGGCGCCCACGGGCTCGCGGTCGCGCGACGCGCGGACGCGGACGTCGCCGTTCGCGCCGCGCGCCGCGCGGAACGCGGCGAGGTCGCCCCGGGCGTCGAAGCCCAGGAGCGACCCGCCCGCGCGCTCGCAGACGAGGGCCACGGACGCCCAGTCCGGCGCGAGGCCGAAGCAGGAGTCGTCCGCGTCGTCGTCGTCGTCGTCGCCGGCGCCGAGCGCCTGGACGACGGGGTCGTCGACGCCGTCCGGCGACGGCTCCCGCGAATTTCGGTTCGCCTCGCCGGCGCCCGCGCTGAGGCCGCCGCCGTAGTCGAGCACGTGGAGCCGGCAGCCCGACCGGCGGCAGTCCGCGACGACGCCCGCCGCTCCCAGCAAGCCGCAGACGGCCGGCGCGCCGACGCCGTTGCCGTCCGTCGCCACGACGACGCTCCGGGCCCGATTGTCGCTCGCGAAGCGCAGGGCGAACAAACCCGCGGCGGCGCAGCGCTCGAGGGAGCTCCGGGGGGCTTGCGGGGGCCCGCCGCGCCGGTCGCAACGCGCGCGGCCAAACTGCGCGAACGCGCGCCGCGCGAGCCGCGACTCCGCGGCGCGCACGGCGTCCGCCACCGTCTTCTCGGCGTTTGCCGTGTCCTCGCCGCTGCGCACGACGCAGCGGCCCGCGGCGCGCCAGACGACGTCGGAAGATTGAAAATCTTCCGCCTCGAACTCGTCGCTGTCGTCGAACGCGACGACGATCTGGAGCTCCACGTCGACGCCGGCGAGGGGCGCCGCGGCCTCGGGCGCCGCGAGGGCGCCGAGGATGGCGCCGAGCGCCTTGGGCGCCGCGGACAGCGGCACCGCGCCCACGCGCGCCGTGCGGGCGTACATGGACGCGTCGAGCGCCAAGACGACGGCGTGGCGCCGCGGCGCGAACCAGACGGCGCTCGGCGGCGCCAGCAGCGCCGCGTCCTCGCGCGCGTTCGCCGCGCACACGACGCGGCGTGGGGCCGGGTGGGTCAGGGGCGCGTCGTCGCCGCCGGCGTCGACGCGCCGCACCTGCCGCCAGAGGTGCGCCAGGTGCCAGGCCGCCGCGGCCCGCGGCGACCAGGACCCGGGCGCCTCCACGTGGACGCTGACGGCCACCGGGGAGGGCATTTTGGGCTGGTGGAAATGGGATTTTACCGAGCCATCTCTGCGCGAACCGGCTCGTCTGACTTCTTGCCGCAGCACCATCTCAGCACCTTGGCGATTGCCTCCGACGCGCGCGCCCGCCTCTGCAGCCAAAGCGTGCTTGAGCACGCCGCACAACAGCCTGCAATAGCGCTTCCAGCGATCATGTCCGACAGCGACTCGGACGACGCGCCGGAGGAGGTCGTGTCGTCGAAGCAGCGGCGGCCGTCCGCCGGCGACGACGACGACGGGCCCGAGGAGGCGTCGTCGAGCGCGCAGCCCGGCGGCGGCGGCGAGGACGCGCCGCGGAAGAAGCGCGCTCGGACCACGGGCACGCAGCGGCGCCTCGCGGCGGCGACGCGCGTGCGCGCCGCGGAGGCCGCGCCCGAGCCGGCGGAGGACTTCATCGCGCTGCCCGCGGAGGAGCCGCCGCGGCCGGCGCCGGAGCGGAGGCGCAGGGTCGCGAAGAACGTCTTCGTCAGCGACGAGTCGACGCCGCTGTCCCTCTTCGACTCCAAGCCCAGCCAGTCCGCGCTGGACCTCGAGAAGCGGAAAATGGGCACGAAGAAGCGCGTGGCGCGGCGCTAGGTGGTAAATGCAGCGGGTCTTTCGGTGCCGTCGCTAGTGATCGACGCCGCTTTGTCGTTGCCATTGCGGAGAGGACTAAGAGAGGACGGGATCAGAACTTCAAGGTTGACGTCAAACGAAACTGCAAAATTTCGATCGGCTGCCTTCCAGTCATCGTGGCCGAGTCGGGCGCCCCGTCGGGCAGCCCCGCCGGGTCGCCATGCCGTACGTCTTCCACGACGTCACGGGTTCGCTCATCAACGTCGGCGTGGGCATCCTCATGAAGTGGATGCTCGGCAGCGACGATTTGGTGTGGCTCGCCCCGTTCATGGCGCGGGGCCAGGCGCGGCACAAGTGCCGCATGGCGTTCAAGTACGTCGTCTCCGTCGCGTTCCTCACGCTCGTCGCCTGCGGGCTCGGCGCCATCGTCACGGCGACGGCGACGAGCGGCTCCGGCGACGCCGCGGACGAGGCCGTGGGGACGATCGCGGGCGCCCTCCTCTTCGCCTACGCCGTCCACTTGGCGCGCGACGAGGGCTACTTCGAGCGCTGCGCGCCGGAGAAGGGCGGCGGCGGCGGCGGCGGCGACGAGGCGCCGAGCCGCATCGAGGCCGCGCTCGCGACGTCGCTCAAGAGCGCGAGCGACGCGTTCGACGGCGTCGCGGACGTCGCGCTCTGCGGGTCCGGCGAGGCCGGCGACGGCCAGGCGCTGCTCAAGGACCCGGACCGCGCGGCGAAGGCGCAGAAGGACATCGTCGTCGTCGCGTTCCTCGGGTCCTTGGACGACTTCATGGTCTACTTCGCGCTTTCGCTCTCGGGCAAGATCACGTGGCTCGAGCTCTTCCTCGGCGTGACCATCGGCGCCGTGGCCATCGCCCTCGTCGTCGGCACGCTCCTCGAGGCGTCGGAGGCGCTCTCCGACCTCGTCGAGAACGTGCCCGTGCCCCTCGTCCTCGCGCTCGTCGCCGTCTACATCGTCGCGTCGAGCTGGGTCCCCGCGCTCGAGATCAGCTGACGGGCGGTTAATGTATGCCCCGGTCGATGCGGATGCGGCGACCACTGGTTCGCTGAAGCGGGGAATCTGCGCCTCAGGTGCTCGTTGGCGGCAACACTGACTTCACTACGTTTGCGCCAGTTCTGCCGCCGATGGACTCTTCATAGGGCGTCGAAACACGCGTTTTAGGACCGCAATCTGCAACGCAGCGCGCGCGAGGCCACATCCGAACGCATCTGCAGCGTCGCGCCGCACTCTGCAAAAAGCGTCGCGCGTGACGACGTCGAGAGCTCCGCAGCCGACGCCGCCGAAAGCTCCGTAGCCGCCGCACTCTGCGCTGCAACGCCATGGCCCACCGCGGGCGGCGCATCCTGTCGCTGCTACCGAGCGCGACGGAGATCGTCGGCGGCCTGGGCCTCGAGGACTGCATCGTCGGCGTGACCCACGAGTGCAACCCCGACTTCATCGGCGGCCTCCTCGCGCGGGGCGTGCCGCGCGTGACGTCGAGCGCCATCGACCCGCACGCGCTGCCGCAGGGCGAGATCGACGGCATGGTCAAGGCGTCGCTCGGCGCGGGGCTGAGCCTCTACGGCGTCGACGAGGCCCTGGTCCGCGCGGCGGCGCCGGACCTCGTGCTCACGCAGATGCTCTGCGCGGTCTGCGCGCCGTCCGCGGACGACGTCGGCGCGGCGTGCGCGAACGTCTTCCCGGCGGGCCGCGGCGCGCCGGAGATCTTGAACCTGGAGCCGCGCGACGTCGCGGGCGTCGCGGAGACTTTTGGTGTTGTCGCGCGCGCCTGCGGCGCGGCGGACCGCGGCGCGGCTGCTCGAGCGCGAGTTCCGGAGCCGGCTCGACCGCGTCGCGGCCGCGTCGGCGGCGTTCGCGGAGGCGCCGACGGTGCTCCTGCTCGAGTGGCTCGAGCCGCCCTTCGACGGCGGCCACTGGGTGCCGGAGCTCATCGCGACGGCGGGCGGGATCCCGGCGCGCAACGCCGAGGGCGGGCTGAGTCGGGGCATGGCCTGGGACGACGTCTACGAAGCGGACCCGGACGTCGTCCTCGTCGCGTGCTGCGGCTTCGACCTCGCGCGCAACGCCGCGGACGCGCGGCTCCACGGCGACAGGCTGTCGAAGCTCCGCGCGGCGCGGGAGGGGCGCCTCTTCGCCGTCGACGGCGACCGCTACTTCGCGCGGCCGTCGCAGTCCCTGGCGGCGGGCGCGGCGCTGGTGGCGCGGTGCGCGCGGCACTGGGAGCCCGGCGTCGCCGACCTCGAAGCGGCGCTCGGCGACTTCCTGCCCGCGGAGGGCGCCGGCTGGGAGCGGCTCGACCTCGCCCGCGCGGCCGTCCGCGCGGACGCGCGCGCGCCGTCGGCGCTGACCGCCGCGGGCGTCGACGACGACTTCGCGGCCGACGGCTGGGCGGCGGCGCACGCGGTCGCCGTCGCGGAGGGGCGGAGCTGGTACGAGGACCCGGCGACGGGCTACCGCGTCATGACGTCCGCGAAGCACGCGGAGCGCGGCGCGTGCTGCGGGAGCGGCTGCCGCCACTGCCCCTTCGAGCACGCGAACGTCGAGGACCGCGCGGCGCGCATCTCGCAGCCCGCCTGGCTCGCGAACCCGCCGCCGGCGGCGGCGGACCCCGTCACCGTGCTCTTCTTCTCGGGCGGCAAGGACTCGCTCCTGGCGCTGCGGCGCCTCGCGGCCGCGGGGCGGGACGTCGTCTTGCTCACGACCTTCGACGCGGGCGAGCGGCGCGTCGCGCACCAGGATGTTGGGATCGAAGATATTGTGAAACAGGCAACCCACCTGGGCCTGCCCCTGCTGGGCTGCCCGCTCCACCGGTCGAGCGGTAGAGCCTATGTGGACCACGTCGCGGCCGCGCTCGAATTGGTCGGCGCGCCCGTGCGGTCCCTCGCGTTCGGCGACCTCCACCTCGACCACATCCGGGGCTGGCGCGAGGACGCGCTGGCGCACCTGGGCTTCGACCTCGAGTTCCCCCTCTGGCACGCGGCCTACGACGAGCTCGCCGCGGACCTCGCGGCGTCGCGGGTACCCTGCGTCGTCTCCGCGGTCACCGTCGACGACGCGCCGGTCGCCGTCGGCGCGGCGTACTCCGCGGACGTCGCGGCGGCGTGCGCGGCGGCGGGCCTCGACGCCTTCGGCGAGCGCGGCGAGTTCCACACGCTCGCGCGCGTCTGGGACGTGCCCCGGCACACGGCGCTCGGCGTCCACCCGAAGATCGCCTGCGCGCCCAAATTCAGTTTCTAACACGGCGTCCACCCGAAGATCGCCTGCGCGCCCAAATTCAGCTTCTAACACGTCTTATTCTTCCACTTCTTCCACTGCTTCTTCGCCTTCTTTCTCTTGTCCTCGCAGGATTTCTTGGACCCCTTGGTGGGCTTGGCCGTCGGCTCGGGAGTCGGGAAGGACGTTGGCCCGGGCGTCGGGGCGTTCGTCGCCTCGGCGATGGGCGCGGTCGTCGTCGTCGCGGCGACCGCGCCCCCCGCGTCGGCGGGCCACGCGTCTCCCGCCTCGACGGCGGCGGCCCTCGCATCGTTGAGCCCGTATCGGAGGGCCCACGCGCGGTCGATCTCGTCCTGCTGCGTGAAGCCCATGGCCTCCGCGGCCTCGACGGCGGCCGCGAGAGCCGCCCGCGCGTCCTCCCGGAGGCCCGCGCCGCCCTCGAGCGACGCCGCGAGGCCGCGAGCGGTAGCGGCGTAGACGTGGTCGCACTGCGACATGTAGCCCTTGTTGAAGACGTAGGAACCTACCAGGAGCGACAGGGACTGACTTTTCAGGCAAAGCACTCCTCTCGTTCGGACGCCGGTAGGAACCGCGTTCGACGGCCGCGTCGATGGCGTCGACGACCGCTTCCGGGGACGGCGAGTCGCCGAGCGCCGGCGGCGGGTCTTCGCGAGTCGGGTCGTCGACGGCCGCGATCTTCAAGATCGTGAATTCGAATGCCCCCGCTTGGAAGAGGAGCTGGAGCCCGATCTCGTCGACGGCCGCGAGGTCCAGGGACCCGGTCCGCTCGCTGCCGCGGTACCGCGGCGCGAACGCGTCGAAGGGGAGCGTCGCGACGCCGACGCCGTCCGCGTCGGCCGACGGCGACAGCGCGAAGACGGCGCGGTGGTCGAGCCAGCTGCCGCCCGTGTCGCCCTCGCCGCCGAGTCGGAGCTCGAGCGCGAGCGGCGTCGCCGACGCGGCGAGCGCTTCGTACGTCGCCGCGATGCCCGCGTAGGACGACACGTCCACGGGTTCGGCGATGTCGCGCCAGCAGCCCGCGAAGCCGCCGCCGTCCGTGCGGAGGTTGCCCGTCGCCGTCATGCTGTTGGCGCCGTAGGAGATCGAGATCGAGCTCTTTCCACCCATCACGCCGTCGACGGACTTGTAGTAGGACTTCGAGAAGCCGTCGTCGCCGCCGTCGAGCACGAGCTCCGACGATGACGCGAGCGCTAGCAGGGCACACGTTGCCACGAGGCGCGCCATTGCACGGTGTGAGGCGTCTGACGAGCCGAGCTCTTCTCCCCCACAAAATGCGCGTGCCAATCGCCAAGCTCGATTACATCCCCCGATGCCCACCCATATCCTCACTCCCGCGCCGCCGCCTACGCCTCAAACCCCACGCGCTCGCGGATATCTTAGGGCCGCCGAGCCGTCCATGGGATTCCTGGCGCGCGCGGGGCTCGCGACACTTCTCGCGACTTCTCGCGCCTCGCGCGCTCCTCACTCGTCGATCTCCGGCGACGCGGCCGTGTTCATGTCGACGGCCTGCTCGATGAAGGGGAGGAACTTGCCGTTGAAGGTGATGACGACGCGCTTCTCGCCCGCCTTGCCCACCGTGCCGCCGACGGTCATGTAGAAGTCGATCGCCGACATGATGCCGTCGCCGAACTTCTCGTTGATGAGGAGCTTGATGGCGTTGCCGTAGTGCGTGATGGCCTCGTAGGTGCGGTAGACGTTGGGCTCCTTGAGGATCTCGTCGTCCCAGGACCGGAACGGCGCGACCATCATCGCGTCCAAATCCTCTTTCTTGATCTTGGGCACGGCCTTCTCGAGCTTCGGCCGCGTGTCGGGCTTGAGCTGGGCCTGGCCCAGGAGCAGCTGCGTCGTGTACGTGTTCGTGAAGCCGAGCTCGGCCGCGATGTCGTCGAACGTCTTGCCCGACGCGACCTTGGCCGCGAGGAGCCGGTCCGCGAGGCCGTCGATGGGCGGCGCCGCGAAGAGTTGCGTGGCCGCGCGCGCGGCGCGCGGCGCCGTGAAGGCGTGCAGCGGGGCGAGCGCGAGGACGAGGAGCGCGGCGATCATGCTGTGCATACCTGCGGACGGTGGCGTCGGCGGGTCGTCTCGTCGGTATCGTCGCCGCGAGAGCGTCGCGCGTGCCCCCCGGAACGGAGTGACGCGGCGCGGCGCACTGTGTTGCGAGGATTTTGTGGGCGAGAGCTCGGGGGCGCTTGTGATCACGAGTTTCACCAGCTTGGTGAAACTCGAGATCTCGGCGATTTTCGGCTGTTGTGGAGACGCCGTAGCCGACAGGTGCATCCAAAACGACAAAACATTACACCAATCATTCAGCTCGTGCGGCAGGGGCGCATGGACTCGCTCGTCTCGACGGCGCTCTCGTAGTCCTCGACCTCGTCCCGGGGCTCCTCGTCCGGGTCGCGCGCGCGGAACCACGGGTGCGTGAGCGCGTCCCGCGCGGGCAGCCGGAAGGGCGCGATGGTCAGGAGCCGCAGCAGCAGGTCCTTGGCCGTCCGCGACACGCCCGTCCAGGCGCGGACGTCGCCGAGGTCCGCGCGGCGGATCCGCGCGGCGATCTCGTCCTCGCTGTCGCCGTCGAAGGGTAGCCGGCCCCGCAACATGAGGAACAGGATCACGCCCAGCGCCCAGGTGTCGACGGTCTGCGTGTACTGGGCGCCCTCGAGGAGCTCCGGCGCGACGTAGCAGAGCGTGCCCACCGCGTCCCGCAGCGTCTCCGCGCCCAACAGCACCTTCGACAGACCGAAGTCCGCGACGACGACGTCGCACCAGCGGTCCCCCACGAGGATGTTCTCGGGCTTGAGGTCGCGGTGGATGATGCCGAGCTCGTGGAGGTAGGCCGTCGCGTCGCAGAGGGGCCGCAGCACCGCGCGCGCCGCGCCCTCGGCGAGCGGCGGCCGCCCGTCGAGCCGCTTCTGCAGGTCGCCGCCGGCGACGAGCTGGAGCACGAGGTCGACGTGGTCGTCGTCCTCGTAGACGTCCAAGAGCCGCAGCACGTTCGGGTGGCGCGCGAGGCGCAGCACGGACACCTCGTCCCGTATCCCCGCGATCTCGTGCGGCGGCGCGCCGGCCTTGGCGACGCGCTTGATCGCGACGGCCGCGCCCCCGTCTTTTCGCGTCGCCCTGAAGACGTTCGAAAACCGCCCGCCGCCGACGCGCTCGCCGATGGCGTAGTCCTCGCCGATGGGCGGCCGGCTCGACGCCGCGCGGAGCCGCCGGACCCAGTCGTCGCGGTCGCGCTCGGAACGCGAAAAGAGCGCGCGGTCCCGCGACGACGGCGACAGGTCGTCCCTCGGCGAGTGGAGGTTGTTGGAGCTGCCGAGGCTCGACGGCGACGTGCCCAGCGCCGACTCGCCGTCGTCCTCGGCCCAGAACCGCGACTCTCTTCCCGCGTTGGACCCGTCGAGCGGCGTGGACACGACGAAGCCAAAGTAGCCGTCGCCCGAACCTTCGCGCCGCAGGCTCGCGCCGGACCCGACCCGGGGCAGGCCCGGCGGCGACCGGGGCGTGAGCGCGGCCGCCAGATTCGACGACGACCCGCTCGCCGAACCCGGCGTCGCGGACACGGAGCAGCCCGGCAGGAAGTAGGCGCCCTTGGGCCGGTCGTCGCCGTCGGCGAAGTAGTAGAGGCAGCTGCCCGAGAGGACGAAGTGGCGCCGGCGCAGGCGGCCCATCTTCCTCCCGAACTTGTAGAGCGGCCCCTCCTTGTCGACGGGCAGGCGGTCGCGGCTGTCCGCGAGCGCCGCGAAGGACCCGCCGCGGCGCCGGTTCGCGGCGTCGCAGTCGACGGCCGGCGGCCGCGCGGACAGGGGCGACGCCGGGTGCGCCTTGAGGGCGACGGCGAGGAGCGAGCCCCCCGACGTGGCCCGGCTCGGCCGCGCCGGCGGCGGCGTCTCCGGCTCGTCGAGGATCGGCGACGGGGCCCGCGCGGCGTCGGCGCCGCGCCGCGCGTCCGCGGGCGCCTCCGCGGCGATGGCGGCGAGCGTCCCGAGGATGGACGACGCGCGGCCGCGGTCCAACGCGTCGCCGTCCCAGTACGCGGGCGCGGACCACTCCGCGGGCGACGGCGCGGGCGCGGGGCCGTCGTCCGACGACCCGGAGGAGGACCGCCGGGGGGTGTCGTCCCGGAGGGGGGACCGCGTGACACCGTCGTCGTCGCGGCGCGTCCCGCGCCGCGCGCGCGGCGACAGGAGCTTGCCGCTCAAACTCCGGGTCCGGGGCGGCGGCGACGCGCGGCCGCCCTCCGGGGGCAGGTCCACGGGCGGCACGAGCGCGCCGAGCACGTAGTCCCGCACGGCCGGCGTGCGCACGAGCCAGGCCCCGAAGGCCTCGAAGTCCAGGCCCTCGCGGCCGCCGAGCGCGGCCACGGCCGCGTCCTCGTTCGTGTAGCGGACGAAGCTCCGCTCGCCCCGGTCGCCCGCGCCCGCGCGTTGGAGCACGTCCACGGGGATGTGGTTCAGCACGGACCGCAGCTCCTGGGCGGAGACGGTCCCGTCGCCGTCCAGGTCGAACATGGAGAAGAGGAACGCGCGCTCCTCGAACGCGTCGCCCCGGAGGCCGATGGCCAGCCCCGCGAGGAAGTCGTCGAGGTCCACGCCCCGCCCGCTCTGGTCGAAGACGCAGAAGACGCGCTCGCCGATGAGGCCCGGCAGCGGGAAGAAGGCGAGGAACGCCGCGCGGTCCACGAACCGGCTGCCGCCGCTCCGCGCCGCGAGGTCCTTGTGGATCACGGCGAGCACGCGCCGCTCCTCGTCCGTGAAGCGCCCGGGGTGGCTGCGGTGCTCCTTCGTCTGGCTCGGGCCCATGGCGACGGCCGCCTCGGAGTCGGCGTTTCGCAAAGACCGGGCGACACACCTCACGTCGGGTCCATGCGCGCCAAAAGCAATCGGAGTTTATGTTTACCTGTTGACAACGCACTAAAAAGCGTTGTTAACCTCACGGTGCAGTGTGTCATACAAGATGCACATGCGGGCAGCGCTCTTCGGTCTCGTCGTCCATGTGGCAACCTCCTATTCCTGGGTGAACGTGTCGTCGTCGGGCGGCATTCCGGCCGGCGCGGTCGCCGGCGGGCACGCGACCGTCGGCGGCACCTCGAACGCCACGCTCAGCGTCTGCCGCGCGCTCGACGCCGAGGAGAAGGCCGGCGCGACGAGCTGGACGCCGGGCCACTTGGCCGAATACGACGGCTCCTTCACCGAGAGTGGGGTGTGGTGCGCCTTTTGCATGACGGAGCCGGCGTTCTGCTACCTCTACGACCCGACGTTTCAAGTCCTCGTGCCCGACGCGGGCGAGGCCCTCGTCTGGGAGGACTCCACGGGCACGGTCCAGGACGGCGCCGTCGAGGCCGGGGCCTGGGCTTCGGGGCCGGCCGGCAAGACCTACGTCTGCCGCCTCGACGACGCGAAGAACGACCGCGTCCTGCCGGGCAAGCTCGTCTTCCGCGACGACGCCTACGCGTGCTGCGCCGCCGCGCCCGTCGACAACCCCAACGAGCTCTGCACGACGAGCTGGGGCGACATCCAGAAGTACGACGCGCTCGTCGTAAAGAAGGCGCGTTAGGCCCGACGGGGACTCGGGGCGGCGGCGGCGCTCGAAGACGCGCGCGGGGTCCCGCGCCATCATCGCGCGCCGATCATGGCCTTGATCCGTCTGACGATCGCGGGCGACGCGACGAGCTCCGTCGACGCGCGCTTCCGCGCCTGCGTCCCGGGGCGCTTGAGCCCCGTGTTGTGGCGATTGCCCGCGGCCTTGCGCTTGAGCGCGCCGCGCGCCGTGCCGCGGAAGCGCTTCTTCGCGCCGCTGTGGAGCTTGTTGGAGAAGAAGCGGAGCAGGGCGTTGTTGATCGCGGCGGGCGGCGGCGCGGCGCGCAGGGCGCGGCGGAGGTACTGCAGCATCGTCGGTAGAGGCTGCTGCCACAAGGTCGAGCGTCAACATCGGCGATGGCAAAGGAGCCTGCATCGTTGCAGGAATCACCAATGGCTGCCCATAAGATGATCGACACCATCCTGGGCCCCATCCTGGGCCAGCGGGACCCGCCGCCGGGCGCTCGGGACCCGCCGCCGCCGGGCGCTCGGGACCCGCCGCCGTCGGGCGCGCGGCACTCGCACGACCTCGACGAGCCCGAGTCCGAGTCCGACGCCGAGGAGCTCGTCGTCGAGGTGGTCCGGACGCCGCGGAAAAGCGGCGAGCGCACGATCGTCCTGACGCGCGACGACGGCGCGGCGCCGGAGGCGGCAGACGGCTCGGCCGCGGCGCGCGCGCGGGCCTGGAGCAGCCCGACGCGCCTCGAGGCGGCGCCGAAGGCGCCGGCCGCCGCGAGGACCGTCGAGCTTCGCGTAGACGGCGGAGCGCGCAAGGCGGCGTCCGCCGAGGCGCGCGCGCTGGCCTGGGGCGGCGCGGCACCGGCGCGGGCGGCGCCGAGCATCGTCGCGGCGCGGGCGGCGCCGGACGACGACGCGGCGCGGGCAAACCCGGGCGCCGCCGCGCCGGCTCGCGTCCCGGCGCGGGCGGCGCCGGGCGACGACGCGCCGGCTCCGACCGCGGCGACGACCCCGGACGCGCGGCCGCGGGCGACGTCGTCGTCGTCGTCCAAGGACGACGAGGAGGGCACGCGGCTCCGGGACCACGCGGCGTCCTTCGCGCGGGAGGCGCGCGCGGCGCTCGACGTCGCGGCGCGGAGCGTGCGCCTCGCGGCCGCGGCGCGCGGCGCGCGCGGCGCGGACTGGCGCACGGACGCGCTGAACAACGCCGCGGCCGCCGCGCGGCGCGCGGCCGCGGCCGCCGAGGGCGCCGCGGCCGTCGCGGCCGCCGCGCGGGACCGCGCGCTCCGGCGCCGCCGGGCGCCGCGGCGCGCGGGCGCCGACGCGACGGCGGCCGTCGTCGCGGCGCTCGCGCGCGACGCGCGCGACGACGCCGCGGCCGCGCGGACGGCCCTCGAGACGACGACGCCCTTCAAGTTCCGCGCGGTGCGCCGCGGCACGCTCCGGAAATTCCGGAGCTTCGAGGAGAACGACCCGCGGCGGGCGCTCTTCGACGGCGGCGGCGGCGACGCGGCGCCGGAGCCGCGGCCCGCGGCGCGGAGCGTCGACGACGGCCTGTCGCCCCGGACCTTTGGCTCCCGCCGCGCGGCCTTCGAGCGCGGGCTCAAGCCGCCGCCGTTGCCCGCCCTCCGCCCGCGGAAGCGGCGCTCCGACGGCGGGGCTCCGACGGCGGTCCGGGAGGCGCCGCCCGGCCGCGCGCGGCGGCGGCGGTCCGACGGCGCGAGCGCGGCGGACGCGACGGACGCGCCCTCGGACGTCAGGCGACCGCCGGCCCAGCGCGGCGCCGCGCCGTCGAAGCGACGGACCCGCGCCGCGGCGCCGGAGCCCGCCGCGGCCGCCGCCGCGGAGACGAAGCGGCGGACGAGCGCTTCGAGCCCGTCATCGGCCAGGCGGACTCGCGACGCGGCCTCCCCGCTCCGCGCCGCGGCGTTCGTCGCCGTGCCCGCGCTCGTCGCGGCGCTCTATCTCTACGTCGTCCTATCTTAATCTCGTGCAACTCAAGAGGACAGGAGGTTTACGACAGACGGGGGGGCGGGGTTCAATTTTCGCGCGAGCCCGGTCGCGCCGCGCCGCCCCGTCAAGAGTGGACAGGAGGTTTACGACAGGCGGGGGGGGCGGGGTTCAATTTTCGCGCGCGGCCTAGAAGCTGCCCGTGTTGACGAGGGTGATGATCTCGGGCTGCTCGGCGCCGAGCTTCTCGAGGAGCGTGTACATGACGGGCTGCTGCTGGATGAGCTCCTGGGCCCAGAGGCCGACGCATGCGAGCATCGCGAGGCGGCCGTTGTTGAGCTCGACGACCTCCTTGCGCTCGTACTCCTCGGGCGAGAGCTTGTCCTTGGTCCAGGGCGACGCGCCCTCGACGTTGGCGTAGGAGCCGGGCACGGCGCCCTCCTTCATCTTGAAGTCCGTGGGCTCCCAGCCCGGGAACGACGCGGTCTCGACGGCCGCGATGCCCGCGAGGACCGGCGCGAGGATGACCGACTGCTGGAGCGTGGCCTGGAAGCCGTAGATGGCGGGCACGTTCGTCGTCGCCGCGAGCATGGGGTGCCAGACCTCGGCGAAGAGCATGCCCGTGATGGCGAGCATGGCCACGCGGCCGTGCTTGAGCTCGGCCTCGCGGTACTTGACCATGTCCGCCGGCGACGCGCGCTCCGCGAAGCCCAGGGGGTCGAAGTCGAAGGAGCTGAGCTCGTTGCCGGGGATCTTGTTGCCGGGCAGGCCGTAGGCGAATTCGGACGACTTGGGGTCCTTGAGCGTCGCGCCCGCGAGGCGGGTGGAGGACGAGGCGGTCTTCGACGGCACGAGCGCCGCGGCGGGAGCGAGGAGGAGGAGCGCGAGCTTGGCCATGGTGGAGTGTGTCTGCGGTGGGGGCGCGGCGGTGAGCGGGTGCGACGGTGTGGTGGTGCGTGGCGCGCGCGTTGCAATGGCGTGGTGGGTGGCGTGGCGCGCGGCGCGGCGCGCGCGGCGTCTCGCGGCGCGAGGACGCGCGCGGTTGCATTGCGGTGGTGGTAGGGTGGATGGGGGAGAGTGGGGAGAGGTGTCGCTTGCACGAAGCGGGTGGACTCACGTGTGTGGTTGCGATAGAGTTCGACGAGTGTGCTTGGGTTTGTTCGACAAGTCAGGCCGGTTTGAGGTAGGGGCCCCACGGACGCCCTGCGGCCCGGCTGTCCTGCCTAAAGTCCTCCCTCAGTCCTGCGCAGTCCTCCCGGCGGTGTCCCGGCCGCGTCCCGGCGCCGTCCCGGCGCCGTCCCGGCGTCCCGGCCGCGTCCCGCCGCCGTCCCGGCTCCGTCCCGCCGCCGTCCCGGCTCCGTCCCGGCGCGTCCTCCGGGTCGCGGTCCTGGCCAGGTCCTCCCGGGGTCCTGGGCCGTCCCGCCTTAGTCCTGGCCACGTCCTGCGCCGTCCTGCGGCTGTCCCGCGCCGGGTCGCCTGGGTCGGCGGCCCGGCCGCCGACCTGCGCCGTCCCCCGGCCGTCCCGCGGCGCGGGACGCCTGGGACGCCGTGGCCGGCGCCGCGGAGCGGCGCCGGCGCGTCCGACGCCGGCGCGCGGCTGCGCTACGTGCACGTGGCCGCGCACGCCGTCACAGGAGTGCATGCGCTGCTCGCGGCGCCGCACGCTACGCATTTGCTGCGCCGTCGATCGTCGCTCGGTCTGCGGGCCGACGAGGAGCTCGACGCGTCGAGCGCGACGAGTGCGCGCGGCGCGCGCGGCGCCCACGTCGTGGCGACGAAGTTGACGGACGCGGCGACGGCGACGAAGTCGCCGAGCGCCGACGAGTCCGTCGCGCTCGACGCGATCGCGCTCTCCGCCGGCGACGCGACGAAGTCCTCGCGGGCATGCTCGCTCACCTCGGAGCGACGCCGACGCGGTCCGCGCCCGACGCGCGCGCCATCAGCCGAACGATCTCCGACGCCGCGGAGAACGCACTCCCGCGCGGAGCGCGCGGCGAGAACGCGCGGAGAGCGCGCGCGCTCACGGCCTCCGGCCGGCCGACCTCCGACCACGCGCGCGCGTCCTACTAGCTAGTTTCCGTGTCGTAGATTGAAGTGGGGCCAGTTTCCGGAGCGCTGGTGTCCGGGTGGGTTGCCACGCCACCGAGATTCGTCGCCGCCCCTCGGAGTTTGGCGCTCCGCGAGGACCGCGCCCGCCGGCCCACCTGAGCGCGAGCTCGAGCTCGCCTCGGGCCGGGCATCGACGCGGCCCCGAACGGGCGACGGATTTTTTTGTTCGACTGGGGGAGTCTACCCCAGTTGGCCGAAGGTGGCCAGCCGCCGCGTGGGACTTTTTGTGCCCCCAGAGTCGCGCTGGGGGCCCCGCGTGAGGAGCTTTTTTCGTGAATTTCACATCCTGAGTAGGCGGCGTCGAAGGCCGTGCGCGTCCTCGACCCACCGGGTCGGTGTCCCGTGTGCGGTCTCGGCGCACCGGAGCGTGCAACGGATGGCAGTGACCGAACTGCTTCATCCCGCTCCGGCCCGAGCTTTTAGCGTCTTCTCAGGACGGGGTCATCGGGCTTCCTCGTGCCATGCTGAGCACACCCTCCCCAGCACCGCAGGTCCGTGAATCGTTTTGGGCGCGCGCGGTCCGCGACGGTTCGACCCCGATCGAGTGCGCGCGGCCGCGCGACGCGCGGCCGCGCGGAGTAGCGGCCCGACCTCGGCGACGCGCGTCGTGGCCGCGAGTCGCGCGCGGGGGAGGCGCGGGTCGGCCATCGCGCGGACGGACGTCGCTTCGCGCCGAAAATCCTCGTCGCCAAAGCTCATTCCGTATCCGGCCCGCGCTCCGTCGAACTCACTTTGCACCGCGTTGCAACGCTTCCACGGCGGTGCATGGGTACTGAGGAATCCGCCTGCAACGCGCGCACGCCGCACATGCC